GAATGGAGATGTTTACCATTCAAATGCAGTTTTTCTGGTAAAAATCCAGTCAGTAACTGTGGAAATATCAATGTCTAAAATGTCCTGTCTGCAAATTTGAGGGCATATGTTTCAAGGAGTATAACATCAGTAGGCTATAAGCTGTAAGTGGGTGATTTCAACATATTGACTCAGGGAAACATACATTTAAGAACATTTGACCTCTGGATAAAAGTGTTAAGAACATAAACCCCTTTGAAAGATCTCCTCAATCTGTCATATTAAGAGTATATTGAGCTGAGCAACATAGGACCGTGGAAGCATAGATATATGCTCCCACTGGGATATACGGACGCAGCCATGAATAAAGAGTTCTTCATCCTGTGCTTTTACCAGCAGGGATTTAAGGCAAATGTGTGGCTCTGCTGAAGGTCAGAGGATGAAGACAGAAGTAGAGAAAGTGGGGACAGATTGTGCTCAGGTTAAAAAAGCAATATTCTATGATATGAACCATGACGTGCACCAGGGTACAGTATAAAGGAAGTGATCATCTTATTCCGCAGAATTTTTCCCTTTGATACTCAAGATGCACTTCACTGCACAGCATCAGAGTTCTTTAAGGAGCCAGATTTCTTTCAAAATGTGCCTGCTCGCCTTCCAGAAGCTCTATATAATGTCAGCGTTTGGACCATACCAATGAAAATCTTTACACTTCTGACAAATGGGTGCAATAATTAAAGCTTGGACCTCGCCATTGCTGAATCCCAAGAAAGTCAAGAGTGTTTGCTCAGGTATGTGATGACTGGCTTTCTCTTACAGGGGGATGAGATCCAGATGTGTGGTATGTCTGCTACTGGAGTGAAAGAGGGCACTCCAGCTCGCACATGTGGGTATATTATGTCTCACACACTCCAAAAGTCTAATAATCAGCTACTCTAAAATAGTAGTGGATGCCAAAACAAGCCATCAGATAGGAAGGAATCCGACAGTCCCTCTTCTAACAATCGCGTTGGATTTGTTTTTCAAAAATAAACGACCATCTATCAGGAACTGGGATCCAGCTGGTTTGATTGGGATTTAATATACACAGACATCTCTACATGACTACTTTGTTCTGTTTTCAGAAAGCTTGATGGAATATCTAATCAAACCTTGGATACTGGCTAGAGTGTCTTTGAATATCTGCAGTAAATATAGACATGCAATTTTTCTTGTGTAATGCAATGAGGCATTTATGAACAACATTAAAGATGAAATTACCATCGGGGGGAGTAATGTTTGTATGTATTGACTAAAGTCATAATCCTAGATCAATTGGCTGTGACACAAAGTGGTGACAGTCAGACAATGGACAGTTTACTCTGTGACATTGAACAAAGAACAATGGTAAGATAATGAAAGGTCAGAAAGCTGAAAAAGGCCATCTTGATGAGAACTGTTACCTGGAACTGAGGAAAGATAAAGGTCAGGTCATTAACGGCAATGTAAATGGTACCATTTTCTTCAGTATTCTCAGGAACGCCATTTTTTTCAACCAAAGCTTGCATTTGGGGACCAAATCATTCTTTTCATTCATTTCAGCAGGTGAAGTTGAAGCGTAAAATTATTCTTTGTTTTTCATTTTTGTTATTACTGTAGCAAGAAAGTGAGGCAAAGGAGTGAAACTTTAATACCACTTCCATGTTCCTTTGTTTTCTGATATTTTCATTTGTGTTGAATCATTTAAAAGAAGCAAAATATGCAGTTGGGATGTTTTATGTCCTATTATTAAAGAGATACTCCACCCAAACCTCTCGCACTATCTTGTGAGTTAGTCAAATTTCTTACAAAACTAGGACTGTGTGGAACATAATGAGGATACGTGGATCATGACACAGAGGTGGTTTGTGTCCCTACCTTGGAATCCAAGCAGCCTACTGGTCTCCATTGATGAGGAAAAGTGTAAACTTTTTACAACTTTGACAAAAAGAAAAGAAAATCCACTATTTTCAGACTTCAGGTAGTCTCATTTTAGTATTTCAAAATCTTGGTTAATGTGACCACAAACCCACTAAGACATTATTTAATATTAAACAAAATGGTTTAAATGTCAGTGAGACCTTTTTCAAAATGATAGATCCAACTTCTCTAATGATGCAACTGCAGCTCCACTCAGTTCACAGACACCATTAGACTCTGCTCTAATACTTGTTGGTATGCATACGTAATTCTTGCTTATTTGACCCTGCCTTTTCACATCATCTAAATCCAGACACCAAATTGTAAAGATGTTTTGGTTCTCAGGAGACCACACAAAATGAGAACAAAGTATGTTTACCTTCAGCTTTTGGGTCAGCAGAGATCTAGCATATTGTAGATGAACACTGAGTAAAGAATGCATCAAAGCTTTGTCATTTATCACCAGAGCACTAACAACTCTGCAGCTCCAATGGCATAATGGCTCAATTATTTTAGCAAAATGGTCACCACATGTTTAAACGTGTGGCTACATTAGTACCAAGGCATTAGCTATGCTAGAATGAATGTTCTGTACTCTGTAAACAAATAATCATGCATACATACATCATCAAAGAGAGATATGGGAACATGATTCAACAGCCATGAATCTTTAACAGTTCCATTATGCGTTAAGTATGTAAACCACTAATAGCAGAAATGTCAAACACATGAACTAGGTGCTTGACTAATCATCTGTGCTGCAAACACTTTAGGTGGCATTGATAGTCAGGAATTTCATCAACTTATAAGGAGAGTGACTCCTGTGGAATTTAACCTGTCTACCAATGAATAAAAAGATCTATAAAAGAGTGAGAAACAAAGTGTGTCCAAAGCCTAGTATGACTCCCTCAAAACACACATACACACATAAACACACTGATAAATATTACTCTCCTACTGGGATAAGGAATGAATATTGGTAGTATTATCCTTAAATCATGCCTTGGTTCTCAAGTTGGTGGAAATTGAAAAAAAAAAAAAAACGGTGTCTGCACATTTATTTTGTGATGAAACAGTGACCCCTGCAGGAGGATTTCTCTCACTGTCATGAAGATGTAGCCAGCTGAGGCCTCTCATCAGTTTTAAAAGTCCTCAGAAATTGTGTAATGTTTCACGTGATGAATGAATTATAAATATATTGGGATATTTTGACTATTGATTCAACAACAAATTCAAGACAGAAGTTGGCTCACTGCATATCCACATGGGAATGAGTCAGTATTGAAACACGTCAGTTAATGACTGGAGAAACTTGTAGATATGAGGAGAAGTGTTTGAATCTCTGAGTGGGGCAGGTTTTCATTTCAGACATGGGGAGGTCTAATGCACTGAAATATTCGGACTTGTATCATTGTTTTCCTGAATTACTGTAAATATCCGAGGGCCCAAGAGGTTGACATAGCCTCTGTAGAATTCTTGTGCCATGTGTCAGGGTTTCTTTTTTGTTTTTTCTTTATATACCCATTGTGTGTTCATTGTGTGATAATGCAAAATTGAAGCCAAGTGGAATTCTTTTGACCAGGAACACAGTCGTAGCACATTCAAGCGGGGTTACAAATAAAGTTTAACATTCCTGAGAGACTGACTCTGCTTCAAGATTGGGAATAAAGATATCAGTAGGTTTGACTATAGGCAAGAAAGAAAAGGCTTTATTTAGCCATTTCCTACCCTCTATATTTATCACCAGAAAGGAAGATGCAAAAAAAAAAAGGAAATAGATTGAAACAGTAATAACAGCAAGACAGAAGAACACATAAGAACATAGCACCTCACAATACAGTACAACTTTAAATAACAAATCTTCTTGATACAGATTAGATGGCAAAAACAGAAATGTTGTCAGCATAAACGAGAAAGCAGAATGAAAAAAGAAAGACGACAAAAGAATGACTGTGGATTGTTTATCAGCCACATGGGTTGTCATCAACTTTCAGTCATATTTGACTCTAAAAGGCTGGTAAATAAGACTGCAATCATCACTTTCCAACACAGGCAACGGGGATCAGCAGGATTCCCATTACAGTTTTTCTCATTTTTATAAATGCAATTTCTAATAACATTCTCAAGACTTTTGGTTTTTATTACTTTTACGTTTAAGTTTCATTGAAATTGGAGATCATTAAAGATATTGTGAATATATTCCCTGGTGGAGCTGTCAGTATTTATTGTGCCAGTATATTACATTATTCTCTGACAGTGCAGCGCTCAGTGTTTCATTTTACTCAGTGATAACCTTACCTCAGCCACATCATCCATCTCACTCTTCCTCTCAGATGGATCCCAGGACATTAGGTTCAGTGTGACACTGTTCTCCCTTAACTCTCTCTGGCTCATTCGTCTGCATTCATCTTGTTCTGCAGGACGATTGTAATTTGTTGTGCTTTGTATGAGCTTTTGACAGTTTTATATGACAAAGAAATATGCTGTATTGGATTATTTTCAGTCACACAGAAAAGGGAGCCTTCTCAAATTTAGTTCAGTGGTAACACAAACAAAAAAATGGACAGTAGCTGTTGTCCACTTTACAATCCTGTTAATTTTAGGTAATGAACAAAATATAATCTCCCATCCCGAGAAGATTAGGTGTGTCAGAATATTACCTGCTTTAAAATCATTGCTTAAAACATATTTTAATAGGAAAACCTTTTGTGATGTCTGACTTGTAATTCTTGATTCTTTTTTAGTTTTAACTGTGTTTCATATGATTGCTTATATTTGAGCGTTGCTGTTTATCACTTATTTTATCAAGCACTTTGTAACATTGTTTAGATAAGTGCTATACAAATAAATGTATTATTATATTATTTGAAATTCTCAGAATAATAATTTTGCATAAACCTGAACAGTATTAGTCAATTAAAACGATTGCATTGCTAAAATATGCTGTACCTCTCAAGATAACTTTGATATTATAGATGATCTGTGCAGCACTGAGCCACTGGTCTGGGGTACTAGAGTCTGGGGGACTAGAGTCTGGGGGACTAGAGTAGACTGACAGGAAGTCGTTGTTCATGTGACCAATCACAACAAGAGAAGTCCAGCAGGACAGAGTCCGCAGAGAGACCCTTCCCACTTAGCATCCACTGTGTTTGTAGCTACGTTAGCTCTGGCATTAAGTTAGTTGACCAGCCTTCAGCCGGCTGGACGCACAAAAGCAGTGGAGATTTTTTTTTTTTTTAATAACTACCATACAGACGAGTAGAGCAGCAGGTGAACTGAGTAAGATTTCGGGTGGACGATATATCGGTGGAGATGTGTAATAAGCTGCATTGGACACTAAGGACTTACCTGGCTGCCGGTCCATCAACTGACAGCTGTCACCGCACCTAGATGCTTGAGCTAGCTGGCTAGGTGAGCTAACGGCTAACAAGTGTGTTTTTTCGGGCTAATTCAGCCAGCCAGTGCTGCCGCTCCCGGTTCAGACTGGAAAGCGGCGACTTCCGCATGAAGCTTGTATCTTATTGTTTTATCAACAATATTTTGACTCCGGCTGCTGTTCAAACTATGAGTTAACTAACAGTTGTCCGGAGAGTGTCGGACAGCAGTGTTCAGGGGGGTTATTTTGAGGTTCGGCTAGTTAGCTAACATTTAGCTCGAAGCTAGCTCATTCAATTATTGAAAAATTGCTAAAGCGTTAACGCCAGCACCTCAACGACCAGCGGCGGGGTTCACCCACCTGTTGTTAACGATATTAATACATTTTGGACTTGATTCGTGCTTTGGATAACCTCTGGGGAGATGAAGAAATTTTTTGATTCTCGCCGGGAGTTGGTGAGCTCTGGGCCTGGATCCGGAGCCGGTGGAGGAGGCGCTGGTTCCGGCGGCGGTGGCAGCTTCATCGGACGGGTCTTTACCATTGGACGATATCAAGTGACCGTCGAGGAAATTGTCGCTGAAGGTGAATTATGTGGCTTTTCTTTTTGTGTGGCTTACATACATAAATACATACATACATACACGTCACATAAACACGTTTAACAAGATCCACAATCTGGACTGTGACACACTGAGGAGAGGATGGACGGACAGGTAACATTAAATGACTGGGCCCGTTTTTGTTGGACTGTGGCCCAGCTAGAGCAACCAACGTAATGACACACTAAAACCTTTTTGTTAGTGATGGGAAAGTCAGTGGCACTAGGCTAACACCCCAGGCAGCTCTTTTGATGTTCATTCACTTTCCAAGTGGCCTTGCTCACACCAGACTTTTTTCTTGTGTGGCCTGAGCTTGCTTGCTTCTGTGTAATGATCACCAAAGTGAGAAATAAAATAATAATCAAATGTGGGAGAGGGTGTGTTTATACTGTACAGGTGACAGTTCAGATTTACTTCTCTTTACCATCACTGCAATGCTTTACCTCAAGGCTGGGAGGAACATAGTATAACTGGATTTTCTACTGCGTTGTAAAGGACCAGTGCCTTGCTGAGTCATCTGTCCTGATATTTGCAGAGGGAGTGACAAATCACAATGGTAGAAGTTCAGAAGTTTTGATCAGCAAATTATTGTTGGTTGGAAGGGGTAAAGGTTATTAGGATGTTCAAGCCACATCTCTTGACAAGGTGGGCCTTTCATACCTAATGCAGACTCAGGGCCCCCTAACTTTTCCACATTAAAACATGTCAATTAGCTGTGGGTGAGTCCAAATAATGCGTGAGAAATGTTTTATTGGAAACTGGTTTTACCCTTTAAAGCTAGTCTTTACCAGATCATGGTTAAACAGGCTTCATGATAAAGGTTTACAGGTTCCCTATGGTCATTTATCTTTCCAATGAGAGTCTGCCATGCTCTGCTAGCTAAGAGTGCCTGCTACTAAATAATAGACGAAAGAAGACTGATTAATTCATCAGTACTATAGATGGGGCCCCGTCTGTTTGGCCACACTGTGGGGCAGACATCTAACCTCAGTTCTACCCTACACTGAGATATCACTGGAAACCTTTACTGGAATTTTTTCTGTTTGTGATTATTGTAGTTTTTTTTTTTTATCAGTCGTAGAAAAACATTCACTAACGACATTCACTTGAGAGAAAGGCAGCATTGAGATTGGTAATTGATAGGCCTCATAAAACAGGATTTTGCATACACGGTAAAAATGAAAAATATTATAAATCTTCTACAAAATGCTAGTTGGAATGTTTTTCTGCAGATTATATTTTTGTCTTGCCCCGGCAGTGGGCCTACAGCTTGCAATGTGATTCCCCCTAGTGTCACTAGACCTATTTATTCAGATGGTTTTGGTTGTATTCTTGGCTATTAGTTTCTGTTAGCTGGCTGCTCCATTTGGAAATGGTGTTTTTTCCCTTTGTCTATTCTCTTTGTTGTCATTGTTGAACTCTGTTGCCTTTTGCTGAAATAAACACACTTTTCACAATACAGACAAAAGCAGTCAGAGGGACACGTTAGCTTTTGTAGCTTCAGGCTCAAAGGTACATACTTGGAGTCATGTCATCATGTCATAGTTTTTATTTTGGATATTTGGGCTTGTTTGGGAGTTGTTCTCAGCTAGTTGTCTGAAGATTTTCCAAGACACAGCGTTCTCTCTTTACTATCAACAACATGTGTTTTCTTCTGTCTGTATAGAGTTGATGCTGGTAACATTAGACCTGTTCTGGAGATTTATTTAACATGTTAACAACAGAAAATGTGTTCCCAGACTACACAACATGAAGCTTCAGTTAGTCCTTCCCTCATTTGTAAACCAAAATCATCCAGTTTTCTGTGCATAAGCTTTCTCTAACTAAGCCTGGGCAGTCCATGCTAATTTTATCTCCAGTAGGTGAGACTGGCGCTTGTATTTCTTGCTGTGGTTGCAGTGTCGTGTAACCTTACAGTACAGCATGTTTGTAAACAGCATAGTAGTCGTGAGGGCATGCGTCGTAGTCCTAAGCCAAGATGGTAGTTATGTAAGTTCCATTACACTGATGCCAAACTGTGGCCAAACATTGCGACCATTCACTACGCTTTTTCACAGTAGTAGCGGTTGAGCGTGTATGCATAAGCTATAGTGGTATAATCCTGACAGTCGGTTACGTCAAGAGGCAGTGGCTATTTGTAGCTGTACTTTGTCCACGCTGTCAGCTAAGATAGTAGACCACTGCTAAATGTTGCTTAAGAAGGCTACTAAGCTTCTCATTTCTTACAGGCATCTCAGATTAGACAGTAGGGGTTCAACTGTTTGAACTCTGACATCACACACACACACACACACACACACACACACACACACACACAACAAACACACTTAAGGCGTATGCTTTTTTGTGCTCATGAAGTGTGCTCCTCTTCCTTTATTGTTATTCAGGATTGGTTCTCAGTTAGTTTGATATTGTTTTCATTGAAACCCACTTTTTATGCCCATTGCAAAGTGTCTTAATAACACTAATTACAAAGCCAAGTGCTCTGCCAGTACTGTGTCTCCTGGTGCAGCACTGTGTTGCAGATTTTTGCACTTCATTGTGAAATTTCCAGTATTGAATTCATAGCTGATGACATCAGAGAAATTGTGATGTGTTATCCTACATGGTGACCCAGCTCCACCCTGTCAGACACAGGGCAGAGCACCGGTTTCATAAGTTATTGTATTTATTGAACCAGCATTCAGTTTTTTCTGACACCCATCATCTTTATGTTCTCTATTCATTCTGTTAATTAGAAGGCCCACAGTAATGTTGCCCAAGGCAGTCTGTATAACGACACCCATCAGTCACATGGAGCTGTCCTTGGCTTACTGATGCCAGCTGGATGAGTCAGCCCAGTGCATGGCATTAACACAAGCTGTGAAAGAGAAAAAAAACTGTGAACAGAAGAGCTGCAGTAACAACTAAATTCAGACTTTTACAGTGAAAGCTGCTACATGCTGTCAACATAAAATCAAGAGAGAACCAAAAGCAAGCTGAGGCCAGATCATATCTAGAAGTCAGTGAAGACCATAAAGAATCACACAGTCCACAGTTCAGTGCAGTACAACAAAAACTGATAATGCATGTTTGCACAGTTTACTGTATAGAAACTGGAAAAGATTGTGTGACGTGTAAATGGTAGCTCACCTTGTCTCAGGTATATTTATTCATATCTGTTAACAGAAATATGTGTTTTAGTCATCTGTGTGGTTGTTGGTTGTTGAGTTTCAATGGAATATAGCCATCTCGTGGTTTTCCCTATGTGTCAGCATCACTGCGACCATAGGTGGGATGATGAATTCTCTCGGTTCCTGTATCTTGTGTCAGTGTTTATCTACTTCTTGTGTCCTTCCCTTCAACGTTACCGCTGACTCACACAGTGCTGTTTCAAGCTCCTTTTACCATGCTCTCATTGCATATTCCCGTAAGCACTCCTTTCTTTACCTCATTGCTGTGATAGCATGAAAGACATATATATGTATATACTAGTGTAGCAGAAGCCAATTCCATCAGCCAGTCTCATTAGCTGCTGCGATAAAGAGATGTCTGACCTGTCAGGGTCAGAGCACAGCTGAGGGATGTTTGGCTTGAAGACCCTTTCAGAAAAGATAAATTGTGGCGTCTCATGTTGCTGTCAGAATCAATTTAATTGACACAAACAATTGTCTGTCTTTTTTCTTGGTTATACTGGTGCAGAACTGCCAACTATCCTTAACTGACAGTGACTGTAGTGAAAAGCACAACTAACCAGGTTTTAATGGGTTTCATTAGTACATATCTTCCTTAAAAGAAACAACATGTCACCATGTATAGTGTGTACAAGATATTTTGAGAAAGTAATTCTGGATTACATTGATTTATGGATGAAAGTGTATGAAATGTCTGTGTTCATTCTCTTTTCTTCTTCTCTTTTCTCATTTGCAGGAGGTTTTGCCATAGTTTTTTTGGTGCGGACTCATCAGGGCCTACGTTGTGCACTAAAAAGGATGTATGTCAACAATGAACACGATCTGCAAGTCTGCAACCTTGAGATACAGATTATGGTGAGTAAGACAGTCCAGTAACTGACTGCTGAGTGCAGCAAACGACATTTTATTTTTGACATTACTAGGAGACGATCTCGTGAGAGCGGATTGTGTAATTGTGTGTAATGTTAACCTGCTTGCAGTCTGAGGTGGTGAGAGTTTAAGGACAGGAAAATTCAGCTAGTGTAACATAACTTTCCACACATAGAGAGATACATTTACACATTTGCTTTGATTTTCAGAAATCTAAGCATGCCTAACCCAGAATGCTTGAAGTCCTATGTACTTGAAGAACACTGAAAGTTATCTGAAAATACTCTTTGACCCAGAAATAGTGAGGGTAACAGAAGGGTTGGGTTTTAATTAATGCCATTTTAACACTTGGGACTTTTCTAAAAATGTTGAAGCTCCCTTGCCTGTCTATTTCCCAACTAGAGTCCTTACTGTAAGTGAAACTGAGCAGTTCCTGGGTGGCATGACTATCACTGGATAGTGATCGTCATTACTTCCAGACCTTTGGCAGAGAATCAGCATTTGTCTGTAAAAAATAGTCAGAATAGTTACAAACATGGATTAACATTGTAATTTACCATGCCAAGTGTTTGAGTAAAATCGTATGTATGATACTGTGTATAAACTGTATCTCCATTGTTTGTCAATGTCGCTCTCTCTCTGTTTACACAGAGGGACCTAGTGGGCAACAAAAACATAGTTGGTTTCCTGGACTCCAGCATAACTGCAGTTGGAGCTGGCGATGTGTGGGAAGTCCTAATCTTAATGGACTTCTGTCGAGGTAAACCAGCCACCCGCCATTCCTTTCAGTCTCTGTTGAATTCAAAGCTCCATTACCCTCGGCTCCTCACAGCATCCTGTTCTGTTTGAAGGCAAATGTTCGACTGATAGCTGCCGTGGTCAATAGAACGACTGTTTCAGTCGATGCATAACTGAGTGGTGTTATTTATAGAAAGTTGAAATTTTAACATTACTGTGTAGCTGTTGAAGCCTCTGTAGAGTCGAGTTAACACAGAGTACAGAGAACAGATCAACAGTATAAACTTAATTTTAAAATGTTTGTAGCACATTTTCTATACAAGCACCACCATGTAGTGTTCAAATAACCAATTACAGTAACAAAATTGTTGTTTTTGTTCAAAATATGTTGACTAAATATGTGTCAACTTGGCATTAGCTGACATTTAATAGACTCATTGACCTGTTTGCTATATGTAGGTGGGCAGGTGGTTAACCTAATGAACCAGCGGTTACAGACGGGCTTCACTGAAGCCGAGGTGTTACAGATCTTTTGTGACACGTGTGAGGCGGTTGCTCGTCTCCACCAGTGCAAGACTCCAATCGTCCATCGAGATCTCAAGGCAAGTCTTATTCATTTTCCATACGTACTACTCATTGCATAAGGCTGGCTAATTGATGGCCACAATGATTATTTTGAAGTCATTTATCAGGCCTGATAGGTCTCATCTTGTCCTCCTCATGTAGGTGGAAAATATTCTTCTGCATGACCGGGGACACTATGTGCTTTGTGATTTTGGAAGTGCCACCAACCGCTTCCAAAACCCTCAGACAGAGGGGGTGCCAGTCGTGGAGGAGGAAATCAAAAAGTGAGTTTTCTGAGCTATTTATACCTTCTGTCCTTTCTCTTATTAACATTCAGAAGCTCATTGGTCTGCTCATAAAACCAGGTACACTACTCTGTCATACCGCGCTCCAGAGATGGTCAACCTCTATGGTGGGAAGATCATCACAACAAAGGCAGACATTTGGGTGAGGACGACTGTGTTTAATCCCAATATACTACAATATGATGAGTGTATGATCATAGTAAATTCACCATGATAATAATGTGTATAAGTACGTACTGACATGCTAGACACAGACTCACATTTAAGTGTTTCTCTCTTGTCTGTACAGGCCATGGGTTGTCTACTTTATAAGCTGTGCTACTTCACACTTCCTTTTGGGGAGAGCCAAGTAGCTATCTGTGATGGGAGTTTTACTATCCCAGACAACTCCCGCTACTCCCAGGACATGCACTGTCTCATCAGTGAGTAACCTTGTTCCTCAGAATATACACACTGCCCTACATACAGCATCTACATCCTGTGTATGTGCAGTTACTAAAAGTTTGAATGTAAATTTTCTGTCTGACTGAAACTAAACATCCTTTGTTGATTTTTCAGGATACATGCTGGAACCTGACCCAGATAAGAGACCAGACATCTACCAAATATCCTACTTCGCCTTTAAACTTGCCCGACGAGAGTGTTCAGTTCCAAATGTGCATGTAAGTCGCCATGGCATGAGGAATGGCAGGAATTTGGGATGGGAATATGCTGCAGCGTTACTGTTAAACATTAACAGTTGTGCAGCTCTTTTCTTCTAATAATTTAGGCCGTTTTATGTATCTCACGTCCAGTGATTCAATTGTTTTGTTGCTTTCTAAGGAAAGTAATCTAGGACATAATGATAATGGAGAGAAGCTCAGCTTTTTTGCTTGGCCAGTTGGCTGCCCTCCATTCATCGTGCTTTTCTAATGCCTTTACAAAGTAGCTCAGCACTTGATGTTCTGATTCAGCCAAAATTCTGACCTCACCCCTTAAGTATTATTAAAATGGGGAAAAATGGTGCATTTATGGAAACTGCAAATCAATACTGGAGTGTAACTGTGACACTCAAAATGTTTTAGCAATGCATCACTGATGTAAGAAATTTTAACTCTTTGCAAATCACCTTACTTTTGTAGAATTCACCTATTCCTGCAAAACTTCCTGAGCCTATCAGAGCCAGTGAAGCTGTGGCCAAAAAGAGTCAAACCAAAGCCAGGTGGGTAAAAGGTAAAGCATTCAAGTGTTGTAATCATTGTAAGACATTTCTACATTAATAGTCAGTTTTCTCTTTTCCCTCCATCAGGCTCACAGACCCCATTCCTACCATGGAAACCTCAATTGCACCTCGGCAACGACCCAAGGCTGGCCAGGCTCAGCCTCAGCCGATATCAGGCATTCTTCCCATCCAGCCAGCTCTCACCCCGCGCAAGAGACCCAATGTGGCTGCTGGAGCACCCCAGGCCATAGGTATGAGTAGCTCTGTGTGTCAGGCCATTCTTAGCAAGTAATATGGGCCTGCATTTATGGTGGCAGTTATCCTGGTAACGCTATACTCAAAGTGACATTGCGTATTGATTTCAGCATAGTGAATTGCTCAAGAATTTGAGACTAAAGCCTATCAAGGACTTGTATTCCCAATGGTTCAATTAGCCCATTCTTAAAAGGCTTTTAATTGTCTTTTTATGAGTTCTTTGACATTTACAGTTTGACAAGCCTATCCATCTGTTGCCCACTTGCAAAAACAGAATAGATGGTGGTGTGATGTCACATTAATCACAGCAGCATGTTTTTTATGGGCAATTGTAATGCACTCATTTGCTTGGTCTCTAAGTAGCGTTTGTGGTTTAAAATGTATAATGTGTTGAAATAAAAAGTGCCAAAAAAAAAAAAATTCTAAAAATACTTCTTTAGCTATTCTTAATGTTTTATGTAAAATAAATGCTTTCATTGTTACCTTACAATATAGAAAAGTGTTTTCTTGCTTTATTTATATATTTTCTTTGTCAGATGAAAGTGGAGATTTTGCCAAAGCATTAGCTTGCTCAAATTTCACCAGTTATTGAAATTTAAATGTTTCTAATTTGAAGGTCCTTTTTGGCATTTAAGGAAGCCTACAATTAAATAAATAGTTACACACAAATACAAATGCACAAACACTTAATTCACCTTTTACTTTTACAACATGCCAAAAGTTTGCGTACATGACAGTTAGATAAAAACAAGAATCTGTCCAAATTTGTGTTCTGTGGTTGCTTTTTCAAAAGATAAATTTGATGTGATAAATGATAGGTCCATATTCTTCTCTCTTTTCTAATTTTTCTCCTTTCCAGGTGTTTGCATGAATGTCCCACCAACAGCTGCAGCTGCTGTCCAACCTGCTCAACAGGCTCCTGCACAGCCAGTTCAGACTGCCAACATGCAGCCGCAGGCTACACCGCAGCATCAGCAGCTCCTCATGAAGCAGCAGCAAGTCGCTGCCTTCTTAAGCCCGCAGAGTAACCAGCAGGTAGGCATCTTGGCAGACGAAAAATGTAAAATTACTTTTTGACTCACTTGCGGATGCTGGCCGATGGTGTGAAAATGCTGTGTGTACATCTTGACACGTTTTCAGAAATACAGTCCAATTTTCAACCAAAGAAACAGTGTCAGAGCAAATAGGTTGAGTAAAAATGCTTGGGAAATAAATATTCCTTTATTCACAGAATATTTCTACTTTATTTAGCACAGTCATGCTAGATTGTCCACCACATGTGAAAACATTAGACCCCTTACAAATTAGTCCAATAACTGATAAAAAGCAATGACTTGATTCGTTCCTTCCTGTTCCTAGTAAAGTCTTTGTTGTCCTGTGTAATGGAACATTTGGAAAACAGTAAGTATTTGGCAACACTTGCAGGTGTTAACATTGTCTTTATTTTGATTAGCTGTGATTGACCACAATACAGACACAGTTTTGGATTATCAGTTTGTTCAGCTCAATTCACAATATCAGTATCCATACACACAGTGTGATACCATATACAGATTACTGTATTGAGCTGGTAATGAGCCATAATCTTAAATATACAAACACGTGCTGTGGGCCTGCAAGTTTGTTTGACCATGGTATCTGTTTATCTTGTGGTTCAGGCTGTTGAATTTAACTATTATGATTTCTTTTTAATGTTTTAATTTTAAATTTAAAGCAACATGTAAGATTTTGGCTTTTTGGGGACTTTGTGTTCCCACTGCATTACCACTGTCGTATATATGGACTGTACACGTGCATTTTTCATGATTAACAACTACATTTTGCAGCAGTTACTTCACTGTCCAACAGGAAACTCTGTAAATCACTGACAGTTGAGGCGGAGCAGCCGGAAGACATCACAAGGAAAACCAGAACACATTTTCTCCATAAAATATGATCCAGTTTGACCAAAATTACTGACATAGTTGGTGTTTTGTTATATAGTGCCGTAAAGGGTTATGCACTTGTTCCGACCTGGAGACCAAAGTTACATAGTGCATGGAATGGACAGCAACGCCTCTGATTATTCCCTCTGTTAGTGTTTTTAGTCTAAACAGGCCTGCTCCTTGTTTAAAATGTCTTCTTATAAAAGCTGTTGTTTAGTGTAGTTAAAATATAACATACATATAATACTATTCAAATGCTCGCTGGGTATTATAACATTTGGTTCCTGTGTCTCGTCATATTTTCCTGATTTATGTGCAAAAGGGTAAAAATAAACCATAAAGGCTAAAATGGCGCTCACTTCCTATAAATCATGACAAACTGGCTGTGTGGTGTTCTTATGTAGCATCAACTGGTGCAGAGCCTCCAGCAACAGAAACAGCAAACAGCATCTCACCCGTCTTCCCTGCTGCAGTCCAAAGCTAAGCCTGTTCCTCCAGTTGTTGCCCTGCAACTGCAACACCACCAGCAGCAACAGCATGTAACCTCTGTCCATGAAACAGCAGCTTCTCATCTGACCCCCATCCCTGAATCTGCAGTCGTTGGTACTGCAGCTGCCCCAGAGATCGTGGTAACATCCTACTCCTGTTGCTGTCTGCAGCTCTTTTGGGACAGGGAGTTGATTACCAGCTTGTCTCTTTCCAATCACATCTGCATCTTTACTATTCCTCTTCTGGGGCACAGGAGGCAGGAATGCTCTCACAGAATATATTTAATAGGACAATGTGAATGCCACTTAGCTAGATGTGTTCTTTTAATCCTGTCTTTCATTGCTGCAGTTAGATACTGTGTAAATGATGTGATAACCAAATCATTTAGTTTTGCATTCTAAACTGCTTCTTTGAGGTATCAAAATTATTTTTTTCATACTTTGTTGACCATACTCTTTGTATTCATGAGGTATATCCATTTCTTTACAATCTCTGTACTGGAAATACTTTCTCCCCTTTTCCATAACAGTTTTTCCCTCTGTTGTTGTGGTTTTTAAGGAATTTATAATCCTTCTTCTTTATCTGATTCTCTTTTCCAGTAGATCTTGGTTGCTTGGTTTTTGTATGCTTTGGGAGTCCGATTTCTTTGTTTCTCTTTATACACTAAACTGAAATTGGCATCGAGGACATTTTCCCTCATATTTACCATTCTGTATGTATTTCTTCTCCTTATAGACGGCTGGCAGAGTGATTCACAAAGTCGGCTCATTGACACCCCCCTCGTCGCCAAAGATGGCCCCTAAGAGCGGCCACAGACGCATCCTGAGCGATGTCACTCACAGTGCCGTGTTTGGGGTCCCAGTCAGCAAGTCCACCCAGCTACTCCAGGCAGCCGCAGCTGAGGCCAGCCTCAACAAGTCCAAGTGAGCAGAATTAACTCCCTTCAGTGATTCGAGGATGAACTGTCCTTTCATGGCACTGTGTGAGCTGAAAAGGGCAATAGACAGTCCTTTCATATGACAGATCCCCAAAGGAGAATAAACGACGCCTTTACATCCCAGAGAATCCAGCTTCAGAAGAATCACTTGATTCAGTCTTTAAATAACTCACTCACTCTTTTTGCATACTTCAGTAGCCCAGTGCACAGTTACAGCCAATAATCAAATTTCACTGTGCAGTCTTAACCTTGTTTATGTTTACACCTCTGTGTACTGCAGATCAGCCAGCACTACTCCTTCTGGTTCCCCCTGCTCGTCCCAACAGAGTGTGTATCATCCAGGTGATAGTGATGTCCAAGCAGCCTTTACTGCACCCAACCCGCAGCCCAGCTGGAACCCATTTGGGGATGATAACTTCTCCAAGCTAACAGCGGAGGAGCTGCTTAACAAAGACTTTGCAAAGCTAGCTGAGAGTGAGTTCAACTGGTTCTCTGCATACCTACACCTGCAGCATTGGTAAATAGTTGTTTGATCTAAAAATTATTTTATACTTTGCTGTTTCTTTGTGCACAGCTGCTGCACCAGGAGAGAAGGCCACAGGCTCCAGTGAAAATCTCATTCCAGGCCTCAATGCTTTTCCAGGTAAGGCTTTTATTATTTTCTCTCAGTATACCGTGTCATTGCTTTTCATACGTTATTTTCCTGGAGGCTTCTCTTTGAGTGATGTGTCAGCTACATGCAACTATTCCATATTGAGAGAGGTGGAATCCAACCATTTAGCTGGATGACGAATGTCTGAAGTCATCATAAAAGTTAGCTTATATCCCACCCACTCGTTTTTTCTGTTGTTCATACTCTCACGTTCCTTCATTTGTTCTCTTCCATCTGTATTCACTGTGCAATGTTAAGCTGAAAGATCTGCAGGTATCATGAGTGCAGGTTCAGCGTTGTTGACTGCCCCGGACCCTTTTAATACCCTCTCTGACACCACAGGTAATTTTCACAACATGACACAGAACGAGCTGTGCCTTTGATTCTCTCTTTAGGCTCGTGAACAAATATATTCTTAGAGCTTATGAGTCACTTCTTTATTTACTGAAGTAGTTTTCCTGGATATCACACTTCCCAGTGGTTTGTTTATTAGTGCTAGTTTTGTGGTTTGGATTTGTACACGGTCCTATCTTGTTGACATAGCAAGCAGCCTCACAGTGGCTCCTTGTCAGCTTCCATGAATAGAGACCGTAGCTACAGCTAGATCGCATCTCATTTGCAGATCTGTGCTTTCGCAGTTGCCTGGCAACGCGAAGGACAAATTCTCCTTTGTTAATTGGATTGCCTTACTGCTGGAGGAGCCTGCTTACCAGTGGCCCTAAGAACAAGAGAAAGTTAAGCATGCTGCCTTGTTAAAATGATGACCCAGACTTTTATGTTCTTCTCAGTTTAGCCTTTTGCCCTTTTGTAAGTGTCTGCTTCTTAGCTGTGTATCCTCCTTTTGTGTAGTTGCTGTTTAAGGCCTGAACCGAGGGGATAAAAAATGTTGAGGCTATTACGTAATCAGGATGGGGTTAATCTTCTCCACCCAGCCTAAGCTGTCTCTTTGACTCTCTCTGTATCGCTCCCAAGGATGCACACAAGCAAACACAGTCTCTAGCTGATCAGAGCAGAGAGCCCCATCTAAGGATGAGGACAGCCTCGTAGGAATTAAGAAAAAAAAAATAGTGTATTTAATATTAAATATGTTCTTTATTGACTTTGTGAGAAGCCTTTTGACCTTTGAGATTTGTAAAAAGGTTTTCATCAGTGTTGGCCTCTTTCCTATAGCGAAGGGGGCAAAAGGTCACATCTGCTGTGCCATTTTCTGAGCCAACACATTCCTTGTCTAAGGCCCCCCCCCATCCCATTTTCCCCCCATAGCCGTTTCCTGTAAGTATGAACCCCAGTGAAAAGTCAGTCATTTGTCATTTCATGCATGGACTTGATCAAATTAGTAATTTTTTATAATAATATATGTGCATAATTTTAAGAAAATAAAGATAAAAATAGTCTATGTGTGTTTGGTAAAGCCAACTTAACAAATATGTCCTCAGCTTATTCGTCTGCACCGGTCCAAAAAATGAGTTGAGAGGGTTGGCATGTGGACAGTCACAGTGCATCATGCAATATATGACAGCTAGGAAGAAACTCACTCATTGCTCTGGCTTGTTTTGTATAATTATATGTGTGATGTTGAAGTGTGTATTTCAAGAGAGTGAACAATTCTCAATGTTTTATGCATTAATAGTTTGGTACTCTACTTGTACTCGTAAAGGCTTGTAGAGTTTTGTCCTTTGAATGCATGAGATTACACTCAGCTTACTGGCCTTGGAGTGTGTGGCTGTGGTAGGAAGAAACTAACAACTCATTCAACTATTCTATCATTGTATTTTGGTTCCATTGACGTTGAAGGCAACCAAGTCATCTGAATGTAAAATGACCTTGAAATGTTCACATGATGGTCTTTATGCAGTCCACCTCCTATAATTTCCGTCCTTTCTTATATCACCTTTCTTTTTGCCTCTTAAACATATTTTGTCCCTAAAAATGTAGCTTTATGTTTACTATAATATAAATATTACTAAAATGTAATTATAATCAATTAATTTCCCCACATTTCTAGAGTTTCATATCTCTTTCCTTTTTCTGCTCCTTTTTTATTTGTATTCAAAATCCTCCCTCGTTGCCTTTTTCTCTGTCTTGCCATCTGTTGCCACCAACTACTCTCCCATCTTCTCTCTCTGGCTTGCTCACAGAGAAGCTGATTGAGGGACTGAAGTCCCCTGAAATTTCTCTGCTGCTCCCTGACCTCTTAACCCTGGCTGACCCCTTCAATAGTTCGGCAGAGAGCTCCACCAATGGTACTAGCTCTGTTTTTGTCCCCTGCCTTGACCTAAAATTCCCCGTCTGCTCTGCATGCAACTTCTTTGCTTTCCTTCTCCTCTTTCCTTCTCTTCTTTCACTGACATGGTAACGAAGTTGGAAAGACCCTCTGGGGGAAGGAGTGACGAAAGCTTCCACCCATTTTATCCCCACTAAGGCAATCTATTTTCATTAAAATGACTAATAATGTCTTTGTATTGCTGTTTTTTTCCACTTGCTGTCTCCTTGTAGTGAAGGCAGAGGTGTGTGTGGATTCACTGATTCCTGGTTTGGGAGCCCCCCAGGCCCAGCGACATTCAGGCCAGCCAGAGCTCATCCCGGCCAGCATGCCAGGTTAGCATCCTGGACCACAGAATAGGAAAACCCATAATTCTTTGCAGCAATTTCACCAAGAATAATTGTTTCCAGTTGTGGTCATGGATCCCCTTGTCACTTGTTCACTTATCATCTTGACCCAAGGTTTTTATTGAGTGATTTTCACAGCTGCATGCACTGTGTGTTTTGGTGTGGGAATCAAAAACAAATGTATCACTCACAGTCACTATTGTCCTGGCAAAAATATTAAAACAACAAATCATTTTGACCTGTCGCTCATTCAAAATGGCAGCTAACTTCAGTGACTGGAACAGTTGCTTTAGTGTGGCGCAGTAGTCTGAACCATGATGTTTTTTTCTAGGATGTAAAGTATTCAATGAGAACATTTAACAGATTTTTCATTATCAGTGCTAATCTTCTACCCATAGTCAACATTCTTCTGTAATTATGGATATCAGTCGTGGCAAATGTAGATTTTCATAGCTACTGCTGAGTGTTAAAGCTCCTGCCCCTGGCTTTGCAGCATATTTTCTGGGATTTCCATCAAGACTTTGCTTTGATGCAGATTATGATATGCTTTCAGAGACAAAACAGTGAACTGCCTTTACTAACAAATTGCATTTTCCTCTGCTCTGTAAGCTAACAATCTTATTTTACTGTGACCCCTTGTCTCTCTGGCTTTGCTTCATCCTATCTCAGACTCTCTCACTGGGGAGGACTCCCTGCTGGGTTGCGATCTGTTATCTCATACTTCACCTCATGGAAACCAGTCTGTTTCTGCTCTCCCTTCCTCCTCCTGCTCTTCTGCTCCTCCTGGCTCCGGCTCTGGATCCTGTCTGGAGGAGCTACCGCCGGGTCAGACAGCTTCTGGTAAGACCTCCCCCTTTGCAGCACCCCTCAGCTAGCCTTATGTTTGCTGGGTGTTTCACCCCGTGAAACCCTCACAGGCTACAGATCCTTCCAAAAATGGGAGGGTCTGTTCAAACAGAAAACAAAGTGTCACATATGATGGAATTGGACACATTCAATAACAGATTCACAGACCCTTGACTCATTTGTAGAAGAGCCAAAAGCCACCTAAAATGCATGGCTTTTAAATACGGTGACTGCCCTGGCTCCATCTATTTTAATCTATTTGCATCCTCCTCTTTTTGCTCTTTTCTTTGGCTGAGTTAACTTCTTTCCCCCCTCCATCATTCCTTCACTTCCTCTTCCTTCACCGCAGACTCTGCTTTCCTCATGTCGTGTGGGGAGAAAGGCAATGATGACGAGTTTGACCCTATTCCCGTGCTCATCTCCAAAAACTCAAATCAAGGTAAGGTTAACATAATCCCGAGATGAGCACTCACACCTGCAGAAGCCCAGACAATGAACCACAATTCAGTTGCCATAGCTTTTTCCTTTGACTGCTGATGAGAAGAAGGCTTGTATGGGTGTGCTTGTCACATTAAGGCTTTTTTTTTTTATCCCATCAAGCTCTCACATTAGTCATCCTTCCCTCTTTTGTGTCTAATGTTACACTGCCAGTGGTTCTCCACCTCGCAGGTGTTTGGCTCTTTGTAGTTTATCTTGAAAGTCTCCTCATGTTTGAAAGGCATTCCCTTACTCTCCCCCCTGTAATGATGCAGCTGTATAAAGATTATCCCAGCTCACTCTCTGCCTGTTTCTTTTTCTCTTTCTGCCCCCGTTCATGCATCTCTCTGCTCTGCCATCATTTTCCCTTCATCTTCATCAACTCCTTGCTCTTAATTTCTCCATACAATCTCTGTTAATATTACTTATTCTTTTGCTTGTTTTTCACAATCTACCTCGGCTCTTCCATGTCCATCTCTGTCTCTCTCTCTCTCTCTTTCTTTCTCTCTCTCTCTTTCTGGCACGTTTCAGGTGGTCACTCGCGCAGCAACAGTGGCAGTTCAGAATCCAGCATCCCCAACTTGGCCCGCTCCCTTCTGCTGGTGGATCAGCTCATCGACCTCTAGAGGGGGTGGGAGAGGTCGAAGGGGCAGTGTGCAATCCTAACAAAGGGAGGGGGGTGGGGGATAGAGATGGGGATCAGAGGCACTTAATGTAGCACCTTATGTGAAAGAGAGGCGCCAGCATAGATCGGTTCAGTGGAACCTTTCTTTTTATGTGCCTCCTTGGCCTCAACTCCATCTCTAGTTGCCTGATAAGCTGGTTTCATATATATCTGCTGGCCATTGACATTCCCACGCTGGTAAAAGTCTTTTCATTAATGCCTGAGCATATCGTCTGCTTCTGTCCCAGCTACACCATGGTCTTCCTCATGCTTTCCTCATACTTGCATTAATATCCCTCATTGAGCGCACTGCCATGGTGATCGACTGTCATCGTATGCACTTGTTAAACTGCTTGGTCACAGCTGCATTGTGTTCACTTTGTGTACTCGTTCAGGGTTGAAGCTTTATTTAAACAAGCCACCTTCGGGCATGCTCATTTGTGTCAGGGGTCTGACTAAAGAGTGAGGAGCCAAAATGCTGTACACCTCCAGGATATGTGATGCACTTTTCCTGCGAACTATTGATCAAACAAATCTCAGAGCTGTTTGCACTAATTGAACCAGTTTGTAAAGAAAAAATGTCAGCTTTTGGCAGTCTACAGATATCTGTAACTGTCGCGGTTTACTGTTGTTCAAAGAGAATTAGGCTGCTTTTTTTTTCAAACACGTTGTTTGGATATGATCTCAGTGGACACATACAGTCTGCACCATCTTAGGAAGTCAAATCTGCTCATTTCTGTGCTACTATTCCCACATAGTGCAGTATCTATGTCTTTAACAGCTATTTTATCTAAAGTAACTTAGTACATGTATTGAGAGCTGCAGCTTCAGCGGAACTGTATATTGTCACCTCTTTCTGGATCATAAGGAGGGAATTATTTCTCCTAAGACTCCACCTGTAAATCTGTCAGTTAGGATGATGTCTTGAAATCCTGAAACTGGCGAAGTCAGTGTTACATGGCTGATTAATTCGGCTCCATTGTCATGGCAAGATGCTTTTACTGTCAGCATTATCTACAACACACTGAAAAACCATTAATGGTATGTGAGCATTTTATGATGACATCTTTTTGTGTCGAGGGTCACATCTCACATCTCTGACCCAGTGTCAAGATAAGCACAGCAGAAACAAAAAGGGAATTAAATTATTTGACTTGCAGCCATACCAAAGCTAAAGCAAATGACAATATTATAATGCTGTTTGCCATGTGTCAGTCTGCTCTCAGTGTCAGAGAAGACGTGCAGATATTTAGCAGCATACCGCTGTTACAGAGAGGAAGGTACAGTGTAGATTTCAATGTAGATACTGTGGTAACAAATAAGCTTTACATGAAAATCTCCCTCTCCCATTGACACCCCCTCTACATTGAGGTTATGTGGCCAATGTGACATCATTTCAGAAAAACTACTTTATATGTACATAAAATCACTATTTGTTCTGTCAGCACTGGTAAAAGTAGTTTTTTTAGTATGTAATATTTAAAGGCATTTCATCTATCATGGTATGAATAAATGTGAATATTATTGATAGTGCTTTAGAATGAATGTATGAATTGAGTACCATTAGGAAATATGTAAAAATTTATAAGGATATATAGATTAAAAAAATATTTGTGTATGAAGCTGTATTTAAGTGCAAAGATGTTGACCCCTCTCCTCTGTCCAAAGTCCCTCTGTCTGTCCTCCATTCATGTCAAGCATTCAGCTAGCGCTTTTGTTTTAGATGTCATCGTCGATACATGAAACAAACTGCTTATGACTTACCTGACTGGATAGTATTTTTAATCCCTCCACCACAGTTCTAAACACAATACCGGTACTTACTGTATATTACGTGGATAGATTTTATTTAAAAGGAAGCAAAACAGAGCTAATGACGGAATTTATTTCCCGATATCTCTGTAGCACCTTTTACCTCTGATAACTATTTACTTTGGTTGATGATCATCAAGAAAGGCTGATCACACGACAATTGACTACATCTTTAATGTCGAAATCCCACCAAGTATTACTTTTCATTCTGGCTTTTCTGCAGCTAAGGAAAGCCTTGTTTTAGGGTCCATATCACCTTACATACTGTATGTACATACAAACACAAAACTGTAAATTTTAAAGTTTGAGACATAAATAGCTTTCTCCTCCTCCTCCCAGAATGCCATATTGTAAAGGTTAGTCATAGACATCGACAATACTGTAAGAATTTGCATGGTTAAATAAAACTGTGCTTTTTTCTTTCCATCTAATGTTGTTCAGTTAAGTCATTTGCATTTTTGTTGCTAATCTATGCAATCCTACAATAATGCTTCATGTTCTTATCAGACAGTACAGTACAGTGCTGTATCCTGTAGAGTTCTCGCCTTGGCTGTAGAGTTTTACTTGTGTTGCTGTGTGAAACCGATGTACTTATTGTGCTGGTTGGGTTGGTATGGTGGCAGGTATAAAAATGATTGATTATTTCAAAATGTTCGACATGATTTGGCAGATGTCCATGTGTCAATGCAGGAGCATTATGGAGTGTGTACTTCTATTTTTATGAATTAAGGTTCAAAAAGAGAGACACAGAATAAAACTCATTTATGTGAATGTAAATTAAGTCTTTTGGTCACGTTATTTGATTCTTTACTCGGAAGAAAAAAGAGCCAGCTGGCGGTCTGAAGATTTATTCTTCCATTTTCATTGTTTTAATTAGCAGACAGATCATTTTTCCTTGTGGGAGCCAAATTAGATTGTAGATGCTCTAATCTAACTTGGTGTCCACCAAGGCCTTTTTCTGCTCAGATTTCAGTATTGCATCATGTAGCACAAGCGTCGTCAGACACTTGTCTGTCTGACAACTAGCGCAGTTGTCCTTTGAAGCTTTAAAAGACTATTCCAGTATTTTCTATGTAGGTTTTCTCTGCTACTCCCCTTCATCTCTTAGTTGTTCTATGCTTCCTGGATGTTGCTAGACACGTATTTAAACTCTCCAGGCCAGAAACTTTGGGAGCGGGCTTTGAGTCATTGAATGGTAGATAGACTGTAGGGTCTATGAGCTGTATTGTGAGGTATTGATAGCCGTTATTCTGCACGATTACATGAGAAGTCTTGACTGTTTGTTGTTGTTCCCATAGTCAGCTCTGACTGGTTAGATGATCTGTGGGTCATTTTTCAGTTTGATTAACTCTGGCTCAAATCATGTAGAAAAGTGTGTACTATGTGAAATAGGCCGTGGACAGTTAAAAACAATCGCGTGCTGAAGGAAATTTCCCAAGAAGTTTAAAAACAAAACAAAAAAAGCCAGAGTGTACTCTCCTAGAGACCGAGGCAAACCCGTAACCTACTCGGCTTTTTGTCCTTGTTTCAATGGCTGCAACTAACATCTTCCCAAGAGCTGCCAGTTAACAGCTGCTGTCGACTCTGCTGAGGTAAGACTGATCTGTCTCTGCTCATCTGTGCAAACCTGTCTGTCCTTAATTACATCTACTTTTGCTGGCTTTTTGTCCTTGCAAAATTTCGGCGCAGGACAAGGGGGAAACAAGACATTTGCGCCTAAAAAACAGGAGGGCGTGGCCTATATGGGGAGGTCAGCCCATCACCGAACGCGTGGATAAAGGTTTTGGAGACAAACTAGCGGGAGTATAGCCTAATTTCTACAAAGGCCACCTAGTGGCCTCCCTAGTGGCTGATCTCCATACCACAGAATCTCCAAGTTCTAAAGAACTGACAAAGCCAAATAAAATGCGATATTATAATGGAAGGGGGAAAAGCGCCAACAAAAAAAAATAATAAAAAAAAGGGCGGCTAATTAAAGCTGCAAGCAGCGTTGGGCGGGACCTCGCACCCGGCGCTCGTCGGGCGGGCCGCAAACGCGTCACGTGCGGTCGGGTGCGCCGAGGCCACGCACGTGCCGTCGTAAAAGCGCGGACCGCAACGCGAACACGTCACGTAAATCTGCTCCAAATCAGCTCCGTATCGCCACGCAGCGCTTCCTTCCTGTGGCCAGTATGCTGTGCTTTCACTGTATCTGAATCTTGTCACGTAGACAAGTTCAGGGCGGGACTGTAATACGTAGGCTGATGCAATGAGGACGCGTTCAGGGCGAGACTGTTACAGAATATATGAAGTTTATTGGAAATTGGACATTGCACACTGAAGTTACGAGTACCGCTTAATGGAAAATCATCTGAATTCGACAAGGGGTCAGTGGCACGCAGTTTGACGTACAGTCACAAATAGCTCAATTCTTCATGTACACTTTGTTTTTATAAGACTGTCCAATTATGAAGTCGATTTGATAAGTCCCCTATTTATCTTGTAATTTAATAAGTGACTTCCAGCGGTTTCACACTATGCTCCACGAACAATACTCCCTAGGAAATATGGTTTGTAGATGTGGCTAGTGGGAGCGGAGGGGTGTTTGTGTTTCATCACTGAAAAAAAAGACCACAGAATTCAAAATGTCCAACTTTGACAAGACACCTGGGACACGCCCTTCAACGTACAGTCATAAATAGCACAACTTGTAATCAGCAAGATTATTCAAGAGTACTGTCAAGTTTTGAAGCAGATGTGATAAAGTCTCAAGGAGTTTGTTTGTTCAAATACAGGACCACGGGCTTCAAAATGGCCAACTTTGACTGCACGCCACGGACACGCCCTTCAACGTACAGTCAAAAAATGAAATGCGTTCATTCAGCACCATGTTGTGACTGTACTGCCCAATTTTGAAGAAGATCCGTTAGAACGTGTCAGAGGAATCATTCAAATAGAAGCCCTGAAAGGCCAAAATGACATCACAGTGGACATTTGTTCTAAATGGCCAACTTTGAGGGCACGCCACGGACACGCCCTTCAACGTACAGTCACAAAATATAATGCTTTCATTCAGCACCATGTTGTGACTGTACTGCCCAATTTTGAAGAAGATCCGTTAGAACCTGTAGGAGGAAATCATTCAAATAAAAGCCCTGAAAGGCCAAAATGACATCACAGTGTGACATTTGTTCTAAATGGCCAACTTTGAGGGCACGCCACGGACACGCCCTTCAACGTACAGTCACAAAATAAAATGCGTTCATTCAGCCCCATGTTGTGACTGGACTGCCCAATTTTGAAGAAGATCCGATAGAAGCTGTAGGAGGGCATCATTCAAATAGAAGCCCTGAAATGCAAAAATGACATCACAGTGTGACATTTGTTCAAAATGGCCAACTTTGAGGGCACGCCACAGACACGCCCTTCAACGTACAGTCACCAAATATAATGCGTCCATTCAGCACCATGTTTTGACTGTACTGACCAATTTTGAAGCAGATCCGATAAATTCCCTAGGATCAGTTAGTTCACAAAGAAGCCCAAAAGGTCAAAATGAGCACAAAATGGCTGCCAAAAGTGCAAATTTTAAATGAAAATAGCCGACTTCCTGTGGGATTTGAGGTATGGGTCCAAGAGGCTTTTTTTGTACGCCCCGGCACATTATACATGCCTATTGAGTTTCGTACATATCGATGAAACGTGGCGCCGGGGCTGAGGTTTTTTTATCCTATAGGGGGGCGCTACAAGCACGACAAACACGATTTTTGGTATGTGAGCTTCAGGCACCACTCTACACTTGCCCAGTGAATTTCATATTCATAACTATTATGGTGTGTGCACAGTGATTTACCCTGCCAACAGAGTGCCACCTAGTGGCGTGATTTTTTTGTCCTTTTTAGGGGAGCCTCAGGGAGCCAGGGGGAAGCAGCGTACCAAGTTTCATCTTAATCACACATACCGTTGTAGAGCTATAAAGCTCCTTCATTTAAAAGAGCGCCACCTTGTGGTGATGACCTGAAATTGTGCATGATGCTTAAGGAAGACATGGGGAACTATGGACCCAAGGTTGGTGTAAATCGGACATACCAATGTGGAGAAATACCCCACTTCCTTTTTGACGAAAAATCAACAGGAAGTGCTAATTTTATAACTTCCTTATTTTTTAAAATATCAAAATTCTTCAAATTACTTTTGTTGTCAGGGCGGTCCACAGATGCTACGTGCAAAATTTCGTGCGCATCGGACAAAGTGTGTAGGAGGGAACCCCAAAACAGTCATTTATGGACATTTGCGCTCCGCCCTTAAAAAAAAAAAAATCTAGGCGGAAGTGGGCGTGGCCTATATGGGGAGGTTCAGCTCCATTCACCGAACGCGTGGATATAAGGTTTTTGAATGTGAGACAAACTATGGCGGGAGTTATTAGCCTATCAACAAATTGCCCCTACAAAAGTAGCGCCACCTAGGTGGCCTGCCTAGTGGCTGATCTGCATGTGACGCATAAAATCTCCCAGTTTAAATGAGGCTTGAGGCTGCCAAATGTGCCAAATAAAATGCGAATATTCTAAATGTTTAGGGGGTGAAAAATGCGCTCAATGTTCTGAAAAATAATAATAAGAATAAACATAGGAAATTCCTTTAATGGCTGCAACTAACATCTTCCCAAGAGCTGCCAGTTAACAGCTGCTGTCGACTCTGCTGAGGTAAGACTGATCTGTCTCTGCTCATCTGTGCAAACCTGTCTGTCCTTAATTACATCTACTTTTGCTGGCTTTTTGTCCTTGTTTCCACAGACCTACTGACTCCCTCTGAGCTCCCTCTACCTCAACAGAATCAATTCTAACTAAAAGCTAAACTGCTGTCACCGTTTCCCCCTAACACCAGGCACTGTTTTTGGAGGTTGAGGATAGTACTGCAGCTGTGGTAACAATTTGTGGAATAATTTGTGGAAACAAGGTTATTTGATGTAATGGTAGAGCTGACTAGTCGTGTCTGTCTTATGTGACTTGTTCAGAGTAGAATGTGTCTGTATTGTTGTAGTCTTGTGCTGGTTTCTCACTGTTAGGTTGTTCTCATTGATTCTTAAGTGGTTGAAGATGTTACGGATGATCCATCGGTCATATAGTATGTCATGTGTGTGACTGAGGTTTGATGGCTAAACTTCAGGTGGTACATTTCTTGTTACAATATTTATACTGTCTTAATGTTCTTGTTCACCTCTCATATGTTTTCTCTCGTCTCTGCTCTCTGATACAGATGTGCAAGGGGAGAGTAATGGCTACTCTGTGCTTGGTGAGGGACAAGAGACTGAACCTCCAGAAGAATCTCAAATAAACGAGGGATGTGTGCACTCCAGCGATGAAGATGAGGAGAAAGAAGCCTGTAAGGAAGAGCAGCAGGAGGAAGGAGTCATTGAGAGTCATGAAGCAGCCCATGACTGCAGTGGCTCCAGACCTCTGCTGCTGGACTCTGAAGATGAGGAAGAACCAGGACCTCAGTTAGCCCTCCTCCCATCATCGCAGTCCAACACAGCACCAACACAACCATCTACTACCTTCCATCAACCTACACCGAGCACATTTGCTCAGAATCATTCCCAGCATGTACACGAGCCAGCAAAGGGGGCAGAAGTCCCCACAGATGTTTTCTCTCAAGCCCTCTTTCAGATTAAGCAAGAAGAAGCATGCGATGTGTTCGCCAATGCTCCGTTTCCGCGTCCCGCCCTTTCGGCTCAGCAGCAGCTCGATGTGTTCTCTCAGGCTCCCTTCGGAAAACGAAAGGAAGCTACAGGAGCTCACCCCAAGACCTCATATCCTCATGCAGCTGGAGCTCAAGGTGTATCCCCTGATCAAGGTGTGTTGGGACAAGTCGCCCAACAACCGTTCCGTCCTCAAGCTCTGGCCAAATATTCCCGACACTTTGAGGGACCTGTGCCGCAGCAGCCAGTAGCAGCTCATAAAGTAGTGTCTAACGTGAGCAGGCAAGCCGCTGTGGCGTCAGTCCCTGTTGGACCTCTTCACTCATGGACCTCAGACGTGAGCACTGTAGACCCTTTCGTCTCTGCACCCTTTCACCTCAAGGCCCCGCAAGAAAAGCCCTGAACGCACACTCAGAGAGGTCAGAGCAGTGGGTATCGGCGCCACTTAATTATGCAAACTCTAACAGGCGTACTGCATGCTGTCACCAGCGCTGCAGCTGGACTGCAGGCCTGCATGGATCTCATTCTTAACTGGCTCCAATTAGTTCTGATAGTGCTAGGTCATCTTCACACTTGAATGCTCCATTAGAGTAAGAAAACTGACATCATTCCCAGATTCCGAGTCACTTTTTTGTTTTTTTCTGTCACATCCGTTTACCTTTTGAATTGTCCTTAATCCTTTTGGTACGTACATTTACACAAAGACAATGTGGTGGACAGGCATTTGATTGTTTTCCTGCCTACCTCAGTTACCTTTTGTGTCAGCTAAATACCACACAGTGAGGGAGTGGAGATTGTCTGCCGCTTTCCTGTATATTTGAGCTTTACTGTGAAATTATGATCTGATAACGCCTCACTCCTCCATCGCATAATCAGCCTAGTTCTCAGATAGGATGGATTCAGCTTGAATCACAAGATCATGACTTCACAGAAGCTTGGAAGAGGAAACGACACTGTAAAGCACTGAGTGAGTGAAACACATCCGCAGTCTCTCAACACTATATTTGATTGAGATTTTTGCGACAAGATGTTTCAGTGGAATTTATCTGTAATGACTCAAAACAATAAATCTTTGAACGGCCTTACAGTTATGCCGTCAAATTTAAAAGATTTGTTTGTTATGAAGCAGATGCTGGATAATGACATTTCAAAGATAACATTTGTTGATATGAAACTTTTTTTTGTTCCAAGTTGTTTGCATTTTTGTCATGTGTGTTATGTTTGTGGTCACTGTCCTGTCTGATGAAATTGGAATATCAGTGTTTATTCCATGTAACGTACGAGCCGTATATAAATGGTAGGCATAGAAAACGCATTATAGTAGTTCTTATGTTATATACGATGTGGAAGATTTACTTTTGTTTGTTACTTTACAAGATGATATCGCTGAAGCCTTACACTCTTACAGTACTTCCCTCCTACCACATCAGACAGCACAAATCACTTTTGCCTTTTGTGCCCTCTTTAAAAAGAAAAAAACTGCTGCATTTACATCGTTTTATTGCACTTGCATTCACCACCAAATACTTGCGTACATTCATGTACAACTTCTTTATTGACTTTCATTCAACTCCATCATAGACATCTCTGTAAACTCCATATGTGTACTGTGATTCACACTTAGAACAAATAAAAATGTAAACTGCAACTTAAAAAAAAATGCTTTCCTGCAGTCACACAAATATCTACAGCACTTATGCTAAGCAGTTCCAGTCAGGGATTGTAACAGTAGTATCGTGTAAGTGAAATCTTGAATGGTGACCGATTGATGACATTCCTTTTTGAATTTATTTCCATCGCCATTTGGGAATATTTTATTGTCTTTGTGCTTTGTAAAATCATGGAACACTTTTTGGTTCCCACCATGGCACTTTTAAGAAAAGGGGATCCAACCTGTTTCAACCCAAAGTTTAATTCATGTTTTCCTCTGTTGCAATGTAAAGTCCTCCGTTTTCTTTTCTTTTTGAAGTGTACAATCTTTTTTTTTTTTTTTTAAATTCTCACTTTTCTCACCCAACTTGTATACATGAAGGTTGCACATAGTCATTGACACAGAGTCAGGGTTCCCTAAGAATGTGTTTTGACAGCTGTAAAATGTATTTCGAACAGTGTTGTATTGGAAGTCTTTGGAGAATTCGACATGTTGGACAAAAAAAAGCACTCGAAATACTTGTTATGCTGCACAGCCTGCCTTTGAAAACTATGTTGTAAGTCGTAAAAAAAACAAACTATTAAATGAATGTAAATCAAATGTTGCAGTCTTTGCAGTTATTTAACATCACTGAAACACAGCTTCAGATATAAGAAACTCCACTACATTTATCTGAAAACTATTTACTTATACACTAATCTTATACAAACACATTTTCAGTTAGACCAGCTACAACATTAAAATGCTCCTTTTATGTTAATAAAATAATAATAATAGTTATTATAATTGTATCAACTAATCTGCATATATTGTACACTTGCTTTGGCAATGTTAACTTCTTGTTTCCCATGCCAATAAATAAGGGTCAGGAGTCCCACTAGGGGTCGCCAAAGCTTCACAGGGGTCCCAATGCCTTCTTTACGGTGGCCCTGAGGTGCAAATCACAACGGCAAATCAGAAAACACAACGACATTAACCAAACCGGAAAAGGTAGGTACCCTCGTCGCTGATTGGACAAAAGAACTGGTCTGCCCTTTGAACCGGAAACCAGACCTATGCGTTCAAGTTGCCAAATCTGAAAATTCAAACCACTAAATAAGAAAATATTGTATTAATACGTCCATGTTAATGTGGGATACCTAAGAGAGGTAGAAACAGGGGTTCCAATAGTCCATATCTGTGTTTTCTGATTTGCCGTTGTGTTTTCTCTTTTTGTGTTGTGTTTTCTGATTTGCTGTTGTGATTTGCACCTCAGGGCCACCGTACTTCTTAATTTTAAGCTGCGTAAGAAAGCTTCTAAAATATACTGCCGAATCTCAAACATTTCAAACACTGAATTTGTCAAAAAAAAAGAAGCCTATTAAGTATGTATGATTGTAAAATAAATATAAAAAAACCAATACTAACAGAATTATATTGAAAGTCTACCAAAATGATCAGGGAAACTCATCTGTGATGTAATATTCACAGGAAATAATCCGTTCAAAATTCAACCAAATTGCTCAGTTATTGTGTTAAATATTGCTCATTATTTGGGTTCATTGTTCAGTTTATTAGTTGTTCTCTAATGCCATTGTTATGCATTGAGTATAATATGAAATATCCAAACAATAAGTCACTGAGTCAGGAAGGAACCAGGTTTAGGAAACACTCCGCTGGAGGGCGATAGTGCGCACAAACACACCGGATGTCAGCCGCCATTAAACACCAAGAAGAAGAAAGGAAAGCAAACGTAGTGGTTGTTTTATACAATAACGACATTGTTTACAAAGTATGCGGTAAAAAGTAAGTGATAACCATTACAGAACACGTATTAAAACACATTTACGCAGTAGCAAAGACACTGAAACTACATTAAACACGTTTTTTTTCCCCCGAGACGTCTCACCTGTTTCTGTTATGAAAACACGCGCCGTTTTCATGCTAGCTAGTCGCTCGCGGATTGTTTGGACCTCACCAGCTTCTGAATGGATGTGTGTGTTTTTAACTTCATGTGAACAGGTAACGTCGCCTGCTGCTGAGCACGATGGCCTCTCAGAGAGTGCTCCCTCAAAGCAAAGAGAGTCTGCTACAGAACTACAACAAGAGACTGAAAGATGACATCCGCTCCATCCTGGACAACTTCACAGAAATTATCAAAACAGCGAAGGTACATGGACACAGTGACTTCTCGTTCATCTGTTATTCTACCACTTTAATGTCTTCATTTCCTGTCGTTTGCACTGTTTTCTTTCCCCAGATAGAGGATGAGACGCAGGTTTCCAGAGCAACCCAAGCAGAGCAGGACCATTATGAGATGCACGTCAGAGCAGCCAACATTGTAAGTGTCATGAAAACATGTTTTGTTTTTTGTGTTTTTTTAATGCTTTGAAAGAAGCCTACATTTAATAAGTGTGGGCATGCACTGAATCTGTTGCCTTGACTTATTTAATTCAGACATTATCTGAAGTAAATGCACTCACGATCCCTCACAGCCAACATTTCACCAGTCTTCTTTGGAGGTTTGCTGGTTTCTAAATGAATGCAATAAACAGTAATTAACTTTGAGCAAACGCTTCATATAGGATATTTATTTATTATTTTCTTAACGGTCATATCCACCTACCTCATGTACATAGAAATGACTGCACGTAAATATTTATTTCAGCATCCTTTGCACTATTATCTGCGGTGCAGGGTAGTTTATGTCTGTTTTTGTTGAGCTTGTTGTCCTGTTTGTTTATTCTTATTCTGTCAATATTCAATTCAATTTTATTTGTATATAGCGCCAATTCATAACAGAAGTTATCCCACGACACTTTTCAAATAGAGCAGGTCTAGACCAAACTCCTTGTAACATTATTTACAGAGACCCAACAGTTCCCAATACAATATACATAATATTGCAAGAGTCAAATTCCTTGTATGTGTGCACAAACCTGGCCAATAAAAGTGATTCTGATTATACTGAGTGAACTTTCCAAACCCTGGACTACATGAACCATTAAAATGTAAATGTTGTAGATATATACAGAGTAGGATCTTCACTAGAATTTAAAGTAAAGTTAACTTTGAGTAAATTATGCATACACAGCATACTTACTGACCAACTGGTATGATTATATCCAGTGTGTAACATTTAGGAGGATCAACTGGCAGAAATCAAATGTAATATATTGAATATAGTATTTAAAGGTATGTTTTCATTAGTGTAATCACCTGAAAATAAGAACTGTTGTGTTTTTGTCACCTTAGAATAAGTCATTTATCTACAGATGCTGCAGGTTGCCTTCCATGGAGGCCGCTGTGTTTCTACTAGTAGCCCAGAAGAGAAAGAACCAAACACTGGCTCTAGATATGGCCGTTGGTGTCTTTCATGCATTTCGTGCCACTGTAGTTTTTCCTTTGCACTTGCAAGGGGAAGGTAAAGCAAGGAAGCTGCAATCTGCGACTACACCGCTCGATGCCACTAAATCCTACATGCTGCTTCTTGAAGACGTTAAAGCTGAAGTGATATGCAACGCAAACTTTTGACTGAGACTGCTTCTAGACTATCAGGATTTATTTGAGCTTTGAAAAGTGTCTTCAGTCCAGAAACAGGAACAGAAAAGAACATTGTGATTAATTCCTTCTGTGTTGTTGCATCAGGTCCGAGCCGGTGAGTCCCTGATGAAGCTGGTGTCCGATCTGAAGCAGTTCCTGATCCTAAACGACTTTCCCTCCGTGAACGACGCCATCAGCCTCCAGAACCAGCAGCTCCGCTCGCTGCAGGAGGAGTGTGACAAGAAGCTCACCTCGCTCCGTGACGAGATCGCCATCGACCTGTATGAGCTTGAGGAAGAATATTACTCCTCCAGGTACAAGTAGGCTCATACTTGCCCCCATCCCACCGCCCCTCTGTTGTCCCATGCCAGGCACCATGTACCGTCTCACCTTTACCATTCACTGCTGAGCCCAAGGGAGGGTTTAGTTTCCGCCAGCATCTAAACGTGGGTTGAATTTATCTCATCGTCATATCCAAACGGCACCATTCATCAACACCAAGCATTGCTGAGGGTCGTTGTGCTGGAGCTCATCTCACTAAGTGTTATTGATTACTAAGTGCCTTGACTGTATTTCTGCTCTGTGACGTGTGTCGTAAATTGATGAAAGCAGAGAGGACTTCAGCGTTAACTACAACATCAGTGTGTAAATGTAAGCAGCTCTTGGAACGACCACAGTTCAACATGTATTTTTGAGCATTCAATGCAGTTTACTGATGCAGTATGAAAGCCAGACAGACAAATCTCATAATTCAGAACAGAATGCATTGGCATTGATCTACTGCTGGGTTTCTTTTCTAAATGGTGATCAGTGTCTCAGTTTACTGGTCTGCAGTGTCCAGTAGGCTTGAGAGAGGTTTTAACAAATATTGTCAGGGAGAGATTTAGTGGAATGTAAGTTATGAGTCCTTTGCTCCTAGTTCATTTACAGCTAAAATATTTTAAAGTAATGGCCAGAATTCATTCAAATACATGACTAAAACACTTGTTGTGACAAAGTTGACATAAAGTTTTGTAGAGAAAGTGAACTCCCTTTAGAAGAATTACACATTGAAATAACTAAAACTATATCAGAATATACACTTTTATAAGTATGTCATTCATTGAAGATTATTTATATATAATATTTAAATCATAAATGTAATGATGATGGTAGATTTTAAGAATGGGCTTTGGATGAACCTTTGGTATAGACTGTAAAATACGACACAACTTGTTTGCTGTTATTTATTGGAGGTCAAATCTGAAGCTACCAAGAGTCTCTCAAATAGATGTTTTCTGTAAAAGCAATTAGGTTATTTTTAATTGATTCCGTCCTTAAGAGCACAAGGGACTCAAGCTGTAACCATGCGCGCCATCACACATGTTGTGGGTTGTTCATGTGTACCAGTTTGTGCCAGCTGTTCCAATAGACCCAGAATGATTAAGAAATAAAGTAGAGACAAAACACTGTAGTAGTTTGTCTTGTTTTCTGTGAGAAAGTATTAAAAAGTGTCTCTCAGCCTTGTTCGGAGCATGCTGGGTGTGGGCCTTCCTTCCTCGCTTCACTCGCTCTGCTTTCTCCTCCATCAGCAACTAATTGCACCTTTTTTGTTGAACTCGAAATCAACAGTTGATTAAGTCACACTACTGCTGTATTATGCATTGATCCAGTTTCCAGTGCTTCTGCATAACCTCCATGCTTCTATTGTATGCATGCCCTTATGCGCTCCTCTACGTGTATGAATGTGCTTATTCTGACCTGCCGCTCTTGTCTGCTCCTCTCTTTCTGTGCTACGCTGATTCTTTGCCTCCTACTGGTTTCCGTTCCGCACAGCTACAGTCAGTGGGACAGCACTGATCTGCCACTGTGTGAAGCCTATCGCCGACAAGACAGCTGGGCCTCCCCGGGCAGCAGCTGCAGCTCTACCCAGGGTGACCGAGAGGACGTGGAGGGACCTCCTCCACAGGAGACAAACCCCCAACAGCACCTCAACGGACACGGGGCATCCTCTATAGAGAAACCATGAGGAGAAAAGTGGACACTGATTGGAGCACTTGTGCTCAGTTTGGACTTCATTGGTTTTGCTCATTTAGTTTCCATTACACATAGTGGACTAGTGTCTGATTAGGTCTCCCACTGTTTTGTGTTGGACCAAAACTGGCATTGAGGATTTATTTTGCATAAACTTGTATTACAGGAGAAGAGTTCAATAAACTACTAAACAAGAAGTACCTGAAAAGCTTATTAGAATCACAAGAATGTCCTGTAAAACAAATCAAATGTAACCTTCCAGTTTAAAAGACTTATTCAAAATGACTTACACACAATACTGAAGTATAACATGCAGACAGCTTTATGGATTTTTAGTGTACCTTTGCAGCATTTAAATACAAGTAAACATTTTTATATTTTTCCTTAAGTATTGAATATGAGTGTATGTTCTTATGTTTATTTAGTATGTTTTTTGTAATGTTTTATTTCTGCTGTTCTTTTTTTTACCCTTACAAGCACTGGTCACATTAAAGAACTTAAATCTGATGGTTTTATGTTTTTAATTCAAGATGTTTTTGAAAGATCTAAAGATACAAATCTACAACTAAAAGTCAAAACTTAACAGTGAACTAAAAAGCAAAGTTCTCATAAGACCTCTCAATCAAAATTTCTTATGTTATTCCTTAACAGATTCTAGTCTAATTTGGTCATCAGACAACCTGGATTCAATAATGTGGAATCTTCCTTTAACAACACATCACAAAGCAAATGAACTGTAGACAGATAACCACAGAGAGCTATTTACAAACTTTACAAAGCACAACACTTTCTTGGGAGTCCTCTGATTGATCGTTGTTTGAGAAAACCAGTCTGCAATCTTTACAAAGATGGACATCCAGTTGACTAATTTAACCTTTAAAAAAAACAATGCATCCAGCTCCTCAATAACGTCGATTCATCTTCTTGAACTTCTCATAATGGTAGTCATCTGTGGCCTTTTCGTTATTTGGACGTTTGCGGTAGTTCGGTGGTGACGATGCTGTCGAGTGGTGCAGAAGGTATAAATCATTAAATTACAGCTTTCAGAAGAGCAGTGAGCAACCTTATATTATTTGTATAAACAACGTTCCAAGTAAAGTCACAAATGCCAGACAGTTTATAGAAACAAGTACACTTTTAAATCATTCTGCTGCAGTATGATTAAACAGTTTCCTGCCGCCTGCTGCTGAACTGCTATATTGTAAGGAACTGTGCTGTCCAGTCTCTTACCCTCTGGACCTGGTTTCTCAGTGTCTCCCACACGTAGTGGCCTTGCTTTGGGCTCTTCTCTGTGCCTGTGGTGCCTCTGTGGTGCATTCACATCCTCGTGATAGACTGAAAAACAAAACATTTACATATTTAACCAACCTTCCACGTCTCACTATTTAAACCCCGATGTTTACAGATCGACAGAACTCACAGCGGTTGTGTTGGACATAGTTCACAGCGATGTTGGTGGGTACAAATGATGTCCCGTTGTCTTTCTTCTTGTTCCTCTGTTCTGCCAGAAGTTTGGCTTTTGCCTCCTCTGTGAAGATAATGTTCTTTATCTTTGCACTGGGGAAGAAATGACAGAAACAGGCTCTCAGTAACAGCGTTGCATCCTTTCAGCTGGTCAGTGACATGTGCTGCTGAACTGCTGAAGAGTAAAAAATAAATAAAAAAATAATTTTGAGAATCTTCTGTACGTACTCAATGCCAAGATCGACTTCAGGAATCCCACTCAGCATCTGATTGGATAACATCTCTTCGGTCTTCTTGGCAGAATTGACTCGGATGCTCTCGGGCAGCTCATACAGGTGGTCCTCTGCATTCTTCACCTTAACTTTCTGTTCCTCAGCTTCCACCAAACCCTTCTTCTTTTTCAGCTCTGTCTCAATATATTTCATCCTGTGACGATAGATTCATGAAAGAAAAATAACCTTTTAAAATATTTCTATTAAAGCACTTTGTGTGTGAATCAATAATTGTGTCCTAAATGTTGTAAATACAATCTTGTATCTGGAAATTCACTTATCTTTAAGACTAAAATGACCGATCTAAACCAAGCATGTTGGCCCTCCACATTTAAATAAAGCAAGTGTTGAATATTGCTGTTTAACATGTAAATAAATGCAAACAAGTCTGACCAGTGCGTGCCCACTCAGCACATTTTGAATGCCAAAGAGAGCGAGGGTGTGTCTGTATGTGTGTATGTGTCACAAGTGGAAAAGGGAGACATACATGTCCGCATCCTCGTCTCTTCTGTTAGTTTCAGCAGAAAAGGAAGTGCCCAGGTTGAGGTCTGTCTCGTCTTCTGTCCTGTACGTGGAAGAGAGGTCCGTTAGGCAATCGAGTGTCCAATGTGATTACAAACATTTTCCATTTAGTACAAGTACACACACATTATGTTACTAACACTAACAGAGATTTACTTACATGTCCCTATTCCTGTCTTTGACTTTCTTCATGTCTACAACTCCTCCAGTTTTCAGTTTAAAAGGATCATTCTGTAATAAAACGTTTATTTTAACAACACAACATCAAACACATAAAATAAATCAATATTCAAGAGGTTCACTTACATCCATCTCAGACTCTGGTGGCAGTTTCTCTCCTACCAACAGCGCGGTCACACTAACCAAAAGAGAAATAACGAATATTAATTTATATATCAGTTGTTTCATTTTATTGCAGAGACTTTACCCTTTTGCAATGTATTCATAGTTTGAGAAACAAACAAGTGTTAAGATTCACAGGTTACCTGACTCCGGTCTGTCGTTTCCGCAAACTCTGAAGCTCTTTAGCCTCACTTACTTTAGCTCTGGAAGACCGATAAATAAACATTAATTGAATGTTAATTGGCTAAAAATACAAAAAACAAAGACAAAAGAAACCCGTTAATAAATAGTTTAGCCCATTTTTAACTTTAATGGAGCAGCTGGCTACGTTAGCTTACATAAGAGACCGTTAGCATGTTGTTCATGTTTAGACTTTAAATAAAGTAAATAAAGTACTTTACCTGACTTCTTTGGTTGTTTCATCCTCCTCCACATCCGACGAGTCCCTTCTCCTCCTAAAGTTTCTGCCACTCGGCATTTTCGATGCAGCTTTAACGTTATTTCAGAGCTATCGCAAAAAAAAAAAAAAAAAAAAGCGTTTGACGATAGCAGACGGTTGAGGTGGAGGGGACGACTTTAACAAACGCACAATAATATTGCGTCACTTCCGCAAATGTACCGGACCACTTCCGTTCTTTTTTTAGATAATCACAACAAACATGGCGACTTACAGACAGGTCGGCAGGTTGTTCGGGATTTCAGCGAGACTGGCGCGTCCGTAAGTTTACCTGTCCGTCAGGTTTCACAGTGAGACGTCCTCTCGGTTAGCTCTTTACTCTTTACGTGACGCATCGACCTCTTAAACACCAGAGTCCGGCTGACGGTCGCTGTTAGCGGCTAGGTGGCTAAGTAGCAGAGTGACGCAGACAGATTATTATAACTTAGAGCACTTGTCTTTTATTTTCTTCACTCATTACATCACTGCCAGTTATTAAAGCTTCTTTGACACTTGAGTATTATTGCTCTACGAATTTAATTTAATCATACATACAAATAAATCCCTTTAAGTCAAAATGTAGCTGTAGCCATTGATTTGAGTCCATGTGGACATCCGGACGTTTTAATGTTTAAGTTTGTGGCTCTTTGGTTATTTAAGATATTACTGCTGATGTGATGGTGCAATGATTGGACTGAACTCTTAAGGGATATTTAATGTTATGTCGTCTTTGAAACAGCTATATGCGACCTACAATATGTAGTTACAAACAGGTGATCTCCATTGAACTAGTTACACTACTTCTGATAAGAGTTGGCTGCACCAGTAATGTTGAAGGCTTGTCATAGTAACGGTGGTGAATAGTAGTTTGGTTTATGAACTTGTAGATAACTGGTTTCTTTTAGAAATTAAGAGTGAAGCTTGTCAAGAAATCTCAATTAGCTTAGTCCAAGTTGTAAAACAATAAAACATTAAACCTATGTATATTTGTATATGAATAGGACATTAATCCATTAGCTATGCCCACATGACATTCATTTTGCGTTATCCTTGGCAAACACAAGAAAAGATCAAAATTAATTGTCCCGCATGAGTGATTGCAGGGCCGGTGTATTTATGGCTCTGTTGCATTGCTCTATGTAACTTCTGCTACAAAGGAATTATGTATTGTGCACAAAACGACTTTAAGTAGATTAGTTTTACTCAACTGTTCCCTACTTTAATCTGTTACTGCCCCATTTTTTTGCATCCACTACATTTGGGAAATGTTTTACTTTTTTACTCCACTTTATTTATCTGACGACTTTAGTTACTAGTCACTTTGCAGATTCAGATTACTGATACAAAATATGATAAATAAATGATGACATATATTAAAATAGGTTGATTCAAGACTTTATTGATCCCCAGGGGAGAAATTTAAAAGCCACTCAGGTGTATATAAATTAGTTAAAATTGCCCTCAGCTTTACCAGCTACACCATGAAAGCAATGTACAAATTCATCAGTAATTTTAATATAATAGTATAAATATACAATGATCTCCAAATCTGAAAATGGGCAATTCTGCATTATGAGTACTTTTACTTTTGGGAATTTAAGTTTATTGTGATGCCAATACTTTTCTACTGTTACCCTATCTTATCTGAGTACTTCTTCCACCACTGGCAGTAACATTTTTAATCTCTGTTATGTGTTGTCTCAGCCTTGCTGGCAGTGGATATCAGAGCGCCGGATTACACTGGCCTTCACATAACACAGGAGTTTCAAACAGATGGCCACAAAACCCCCATTGGGTTGTTCCTGGTTTGTATCCCTGTAGCACCCCTGTGGCTCTCTAGCTTGGAGATAACACTATAATGACTGATGTTACATTCTTAACTGTTCTGTTTTTCTTTCTCTCCAGGAAGGACCATGTTTGTGCAGACACAGGACACACCAAATCCAAACAGCCTAAAGTTTCTGCCAGGTCGTACAGTTCTTGAATCAGGAACCATGAATTTTGCCGGACCCCGTGACGCGCACTGCTCTCCCTTAGCCAGGTATATGACTTCTTAAATACAAAGTTACTGACCGGAGATTATTAAAACGTTTTCATAGCAGGCATTTTGATTCAGCGCTGTAGGAACATTACTGGTTTCAATAAAGATATTGGTGTTGGCTATGTTCCACTTTTTCATAACTAAATGGAATGTAGCCATTATTATTATTATTAGTTACACTTGTGTTTGGCAAGTCACCTATGGAGATTTATTCACTTGCTAGACCGGTTGCATGAGAACCAAAGCAATGCCTGTAAGTTTTAATTATTGTTGAGCACAGCAGTAATACTTCTGAATGTTCCTTAGGTTGCCCTTGAATCTGCAGCCATTGTCCTCAAAGCTGAACCCAGTGTTCCTTTATCTGACAATGCAATGCTTATAAAAGTGTGAAACACTGTGTGTCCTCCAATGCATGATTAGAATATGTTACTGCGGTTTCTTGTCTTGGCTTTTATATCGAAATAAGCTTTGAATCATTCAATGTCAATAATTGTAAAGGGAAATACTGTATGTGCTGTAAAAGTAATATATTAAACTAGAATTATGATATATAAGTAATTCACGTGGGCATAGATACTGCATATGTATATGTACAATTTTCTTTCTTTTATAAACAAAGTTTCTGTTATTTTTTTAACATTTTAAAACTTTTCAAGTTCAATTCATCCCCCCGACAAAACCTCACTGATGTTCTGTGTTGTCTTCAGACAGCTATTTAGAATTGATGGAGTAACGAGTGTGTTCCTGGGCCCTGACTTTATCACCATATCAAAGGTAAAACCAGGTCCAAGTTATGTACAGTATACCTCATAATGCAGCATGTTGTAATGTCATTGCTTGGAATAACTTTTTTCCTTTCTCTCTCTATTTAGACTGATGCCAATATGGAATGGAAAGTAATCAAGCCCGATGTATTTGCTGCCATTATGGACTTTTTCACTTCTGGACTTCCAGTTGTGAATGATGATAGCACACCTAATGCGGACACAGGTAAGGACTGTAACCAGATGTGCAGGCAAAACACCGAAATAGACACCTAAACTGGTAAGGCAAGCTGTTTGTAAATGCTAAGGAATCTCCATGTGTCTTTTCAGCACCATCAGATGACGATGATGAAGTAGTTGCTATGATCAAAGAACTGCTGGATACTCGAATAAGGTAGCTGCTTGTGAAGATGCACTCCAATATCATTGTCTGTTCCCTGTGACAATGGCTGTCTCTCCTTTGTCCTCACTTGTTGATGTTCTTCTTCCCCAGGCCAACAGTCCAGGAGGATGGAGGCGATGTTCTGTATCGGGGATTTGAAGACGGCATCGTTAAACTGAAACTGCAGGGCTCCTGCACCAGTTGTCCCAGTTCCATTATTACTTTAAAGAGTGGAATCCAGAACATGCTGCAGTTTTACGTCCCTGAAGTTGAATCAGTGGAGCAGGTTTGTTCTCCAGCCAGATGATATTATGTTGTACACCTGCTGCTTAATTTAGTTACAGTAATACACGCTTCTTCTTTCTGACTTCCTCATTAATATTTTTTATTCTGCCATGTTTTAGGTAATGGTAAGGGATAGGACAGTAATTGACATATATTTGATAACTGTATGCCTAGGAGATATTAACAGTTATCATATTGCAACACATTTATGTTAACACAATAATCGAGTTTATTGCAAAAACCACCTGTTGCCACCTGTTTATTCTCTGCCATCCACTGAAACTGATGAAAATTCAACATTAAACTGCTGTATTTATTATAAAGCAAAACAGTGGTTTTGTTTAATAATGAGCTTAAAAGTTTATATCTTGTGCTGAATATACGAATATACTACAGGCCTAAAGTCATTTGTTACAAAAATTACATTGTAGAGGTTGCCAAGGCTTTTAAAACAGATATTTTATGTTGTATTTTTTAATGATTGACTAACTGTATTTATGGACATGTGCCTTGTCATTACACATAATTGCCAGATATATAAACATGTTTAATAGCACATAAAACTGCACCTAAAATACTTGAAAATGTTAAATAAACGTATTTCTTTTCCACAGGTGAAGGACGAGGAAGAGGAGGCGGCTCAAGTTTGAACTATACTGAAACCAGAACCACGTTGTCACATTCCTCCCTTCCCCCGGACACTTCCTGTTATCCCAGCCATAGATGCAATAAAATGATGTGGTGTATAGCATACCTGTGTCAGAGAGCTCAACGTGATCATTATTCAACTGTTATCATAGATTTTTTTTGTGTATATTATGTACTATGGCAGTATTTAAAGAATTGGGACTAAAGAGCCCGGTCGTAGAAACTCATGACTGCAGAGCTGAAATAAAATGTATTTATTATTTCACATTGTTACACCTTTACTAAATCAGTCGCTTGTTAATACATATACTACATGTATATAAATAAAGTTTATTAAAGTATTTTATGAATGCTGTGCCTCCTAATCTAACAGTATTTTGTTGTGTGTGTGTGTGGAGTTAATATTTGATGTGCTTAATATTACACAATCAAGTTTTTTTTTTTTTTTTTACAAGCCTCCTCCAAAACAAACATAAAAGATTACAGTTGCTAGTTTAGTCATACTATTTCACTTTTTTCTTGTCTTTTTTTTTTTGTCATTTTACATGTAGTAATACTTTTGCCAAATACTAATAGTCATATTTTTTGCCTTACTAAAGTAGGGCAAAAAAACTAAAGTAACTAGGATCACGTATGTTAATATTTATGTTAATTTGACATAAGGAGGATAAATTAAATGTTTTTTCAAGGCTGATTCTGATTTTTCAATTCGACAAACGTTAAGTGTGATCAAATTAATTTTATTAAAACCAAATATTATTCTCCACCAGTGTCACATACCTGGCAGCACAGACATGGCTTTGACATACTATTTATAAAATCACATTTAATCAGTGAAAAGTGAAGAGCTGGGATATTTTAAACACAACAAATACACATGTTACAGCGTTTTGGTGACTTACTTTCAGAAAGGTGTGTGGGTTGTGCTGGAGAACCTTACAATCAGTAGTATTTCTAATTTCCTGGCTACCATCTACTGGAGGCTTTACAGCGCATTCGTCATTTGACCTTTCTATTGACAAATAATTACTCATCTAAACAATAATCCACATTGTCCTCTCAGATTATTTTTTATTTTTTTACATCCATTTGCAGCTGGCAGAGGGCACAGGCCTCTCGTTATGCGCTGATGTTGACTCGCAGCGGGAGGGTCTCGGTCGCGGGTCCCTGCCCACGGATCTGCATCCTGATCCTGCTGCCACGTCAGGAGTGCCTACGTCGGTGGGTGCAACCTGATTGACGGGCCGCTCGACCAATCAGACGGCGCCATGGAAGAAGGCGGTTGGCTCTCATTCAGTGAAATGAGAGTGGGCGAAGCTCAACCGACAGCCGTTCCCAGCAGCTTCACCAGTAGCTGTAACTGGAAACTAAACTGTAGACATGTGTGGTGAGTACGGGCGTTTATACGTTTATATTGTTCAGATTATTCCTCATTTATCGGAACTGAGCTCATTAAATTAAAATGTGAAACACTGCTAGCGTCGTTAGCTCAGGCTAAAGGTGCAGTTGAAATTAGCTCGAGGTGGCTAGCTTAAAATGAGCGAACATGATTATTATTTTTTTTTTTTTCCGCCGGTGCTGTTGGTGCTGTTAGCTGTCTGAATGTAAAACAACCAGTGTTTTCGTCTTTACTGGTTACGCTTTCTGTGTGATATGAAGTTAAGAGTGACCAACAGCAACGCGACATCTGTAGCTAACGTTAACGTGACGTCCTGCTAACGACACACAGTTTTTACGTGGTTTGCGGTCACATTACGTACATCGCGTAACTTTCCATTTAAACCATTGTTTTGTTTGTTTGTTTGTTTTGTTGAGTCAATATTGCCATTGTGTCTTCCGTATACTGTCTGAAAATGAAAGAGTAGCAGTGCCCATTGAGGGGATGTAAGTTAACACGCTGTCTTCCGGGCAGTGGGGTTAAACTTTTATTGAGAAAGTACCTGGAAAATGTGGGGAATTGGGAAATGTAGTAGAGATGCTTTTTATCTGTCCATGTCTCGTATTGTCTGTCTTCTCACACACACTGACTGATAGCTGGCGCCTCTCTGTCTCCCATCACTGTCACCTACAATCTTGAGTTCAGACCAGATATGAAAGGATGCTAAAATAAATGCTTCACTGTTGATATCTACTGTCACAGATGTCTCTTTTCTGTCCACAAAGGTGTCAATTTGTTCTGGTTCATTTAATTTTTTAGTCTTGTTAAACACGTTTCTTCTGCAAAGGTGGGGCTATTTGCTCCTTGCTGCCCCTCTCGATCACCTGCTCTTCTGAATGGATGCTCTGTTGAACCAGGCAGCCCTCTGGCTCTACATTTACATTTATCTGTCAGTGTTTAGCTCTCTAACAGGGCTGTGTTTCATGCCTCCCCTCTGGCCAATTAAGGTGACGCCGCTGTCAGTGTGAGTTACTCGCTGGGTAAAAATTGGACTGGCTGTGGATGCCTTCATGATTATTGCTGAAATTTGCCAATTGGATGCTTATGTCTTGATTTATGTCGGCATAATATTGTACCGTAACAGCCTTCGGGTCAGTTTTCTATCTCAGTCTGATTTACAGTGGCAGTGTAAACATCGTAAAATTATATGTAGATTCTTGCCAAGATAGTTTGGAGTCATAGTTATGTATATAGTTAAGTATCCTGGACAGAAACCAAAACATCTTGAATGGGATTTCTTGTGTTACTTCTTTCCCCTTCCCACTCTAGGCAGAGATATCAGCTTGGAAAACACCACATGGTTAGATACACTTAATTGTCCCCAAACAGGTCGTACTGCAGAGACAAAAAACATCATCTGCTTTTCATTGTGCAGTAACCTCTCCGGTAAAACTGGCTTCTCAGGCTTTACCCACCATAGAGTTTTGACATGTAATCTTAAATAGTGCAGGCTGACGTCACTAAGTAAGGCTTGTCCTACTTAGAATCACATTACAGCATTCGTGGTTTCAGCAGCCATCTTGACATATTAACTCTCGTCTTTAGTGTAGAAACATTATCTCTATATCGACTACTGGTGGACTTTAACGAATCCAAGCTAATTTTTAATCAAAAGCTGAACAAAGTGATTAAAAAATATTGTGTGAAGAGTTTTGTCTGCTGTATAAAACCGATTATTTTCTGTGATTTTGCACACATTTGTCATGATATAAATTGTGCCTTTTAAAATATTCATATTTATTATTTTCAGCCATATCACCCAGCCCGAGTCATTTTTGTTTCTTAAATCCACATGCAATGGTACAAACTCACTTGGGCGATACTAGGGCTGTACAGCTGCAAATGGCATTAAGCACTGAGAGTCAGCTGGATGTACCAGTCTAGCGGACATTTCAATCAATCTGCGCTTGCAGCTGCATTTCTAAGCAGACACAGCACTAAATCACGACATTTTGTCCTTCTCCACAGGAATCTTTGCCTATCTCAACTATCATGTGCCAAGGACTCGCCGTGAGATCCTTGAGATCCTCCTCAAAGGCCTGCAACGTCTGGAGTATAGAGGCTACGACTCAGCTGGTGAGAGACATGGAAAAGGCTCATATCACCAAGACACACTCTATTTTATCAAGGCCTCTTTCCTTCAGTGTGTGCTTGCTCCATAATTATTCTGATAATGCAACCAAGTTGTTAATAATATTTACAGTGTGTCCAGTATAACGTTATTGCAGCTTAAAAATGTTTTTTATCAGTCAAACTTATTACTTACCTATTATTATGGTCACAGCAAGACTGATGTTCACTGTGGGTTATTGAACAGCCATTATCATGTTGGTGGCTTATAGTTACTGCACCACTGATGGAGCTAATTTACTTTATGCTATTTGCATTCCGCGCAGTTCTTTTGAGTTTTTTTCATGCGTTAGTTAAGTGTAGCAGCAGCTATATAACGATAAAATATATATATATATATATATATATATATATATATATAGTTGTAGTTATTAGACCAAAAAACATTGCATTAATTCTTACGATATTTCTTTTTCTTTCATCAGGTGTCGGTATTGATGCTGGCAATGGCAAAGACTGGGAGTCAAATGCCAAGTCTATCCAACTGATCAAGCAACGTGGAAAAGTGAAGGCTCTTGATGAGGAGATCCATAGTAAGCTGAGAGGAAGTTGTTCACATGACAAGAATCAGTCATGGAGCCTTGATTTGTCATCCTGTAAACTGTGCTACAGCTGGGATACTTAATATTATCTGTGTTTTGTTTGTCCGACCTTTTAGAACAGCAGGATATTGACCTGGATGTGGAGTTTGATGTTCACCTCGGCATTGCTCACACCCGCTGGGCCACCCACGGTGTACCAAGCCCGGTTAACAGCCATCCACATAGATCTGACAAGACAAATGGTCAGTTGTGTTTAAGGTGGAAGGTTAACTGGCCTCACATAGCTAAATATTTTATCTTGTATTCCACAACAGCTCAGTCATTCCTTTGATATATTAAAGGTTTTTTGTGATCATCTTTCTGCTATGCAGAGTTCATTGTCATTCACAATGGAATTATCACCAACTACAAAGACCTGAGGAAATTCTTGGTGAGCAAATATCTTTCATAAGCTATTCTAGATGCCTTTTCTTCACAGTGACAGGAGGCAGGACTAATTCTCTCTCTCCATCTCCACAGGAGAGCAAAGGCTATGAGTTTGAGTCAGAGACTGACACAGAGACCATCGCCAAGCTGGTGAAGTACATGTATGACAACCGGGAGAGTGATGACATCAATTTTGCCACACTGGTGGAACGGGTGACCCAGCAGCTGGTAAGGACCTGCTCGTGCACACAGCTGCACTTGGAAGTGATCAGCAGATGAAACAGCATGTCTGATGTGTTTGTTCTTTCACCTGTCAGGAGGGAGCTTTTGCCCTGGTCTTCAAGAGTGTCCACTATCCCGGAGAGGCAGTCGGCACAAGGTACACTCCCACTGATGCTGTCAGACTGAAGTTAGTTATTGCAGATTAAGGTGTTGATGGCTCATACAAATGTTCCTGTGCAGGAGGGGAAGTCCCCTGCTGATGGGAGTGAGAAGTGATCACAAGCTGTCCACAGATCATATTCCTGTGCTCTACCGGTCCTGTAAGTTCAAACTTCTGTTTTTAGTCTAATTTTTCCACATGTGATTGCATAAGTCAGACTGAGGCCTAGTTTCTCTTTGTTCTCAGCCGGTAAAGACAAGAAAGGCTGCAGTGCCCTACCCAGGGCTGACCAGGACACCTGCCTGTTCCCTGTGGACGAGAAAGCTGTGGAGTACTACTTTGCCTCTGATGCAAGGTAAGCAGATACCTGTATTTTTTCCATCTTTTTACAGTGTCCAAACATTCTTGCTCCCCAGTTCCATTCGTCTCTGTGGAGT